TGGGAAGGGGGAAACCATTTAGCTTGTAATATGTATCTGGAAACTCCTGAATGTCCTATGTGAGTATTAGATTTTAATAGCATGATTTTAAGACTGATGAATATAAAAGCAGGCAAGCTCGAGTTTCATACTGCTTTCAAAGCTGTATCCTAGGTTAGTGAAATAAACAATTGAAACTTTTCTAAATAATTAAATTATTTGGTTTGATGGGTTTAGGCATGGACCAATTCCATGTCCTTTGATTTGTAAAATAGTGATGGCAATTTTGAACTTTTAAGTGAAATTAAGCTGATCTCCTCTTCTGTATAAATCCATTGTGCCAACTCTTTTAGAGATTATATCTCTTGCAGAGAGTGTGGGTGTAAGATGTAAAATTTTTTGGAGCAGAGGGATGGCAGAAATGTCCTTGTGTAAAGGGCCTAATAAATTAATATTCTTAACCCTACTGACTATAAGGCACCCTTTGATCAGTGTGATGGTTGGCTCTGTGGTATCCATTTAAAAAAACCCCAGCAAAACAACAACAAAAAAAAAAACAAACAGACTTATTAAACATTTTCTTTCCCCTCCCCACCAATTTTATTATCACAAGTGATGTGCTAGGAGTAAAAGTACAACTTATACAAGTACATTTTAAAGAGTAACTTCATGTAGTTAAAGGGTAAATCTATGTAAGGGAAAGGTTACACATGTATATGATCTCTCCATGACCATTACTCTTTAGAACTTTTTTTTAAAGGATATTAGTGATTATTCAATTGTAGAAGTTATATGGATTATCATGGGGGGGTGTGTGTGTGTGTGTGTGTGTGTGTGTGTGTGTGTGTGTAGGTATGTGAGAGAGTATGTGGAAGGAGGTGTCCCAAATAACCAATAGACTCCCATTTTTAAGTTAACTGTGAATTTGAGGGTGCTTATCTAAATATTTCACTCAGTTCAAATGCCCCTGAATTTGTTTTACTTAATCAAAATATGGTCTTCCTCCAATTATAGTCAGAGTGATATCATCTGAAGAATATTGCACACAGGAAAAACTAGCCCTACTTTATCTAAGGGAATATATTTTACTTTAGTAAAGAAAGAATTTTAATCAATATTGTTAGATTTACAATCCAAATTTAGTAGTGGTTGGAGAAAATGTTGCTTATTAGGTCCTTTTCTATCCTTCTAGATTTTCTTTCCTTCTAGAACAGAATAGTTTATAACTTGCAGGCTACCATGTGTTAGGACAGGACCCAAAACTCTGCAAACAAACATTTGGTGAATGCATTCTTGACAGTAACAACAGTGGGCTTTAAATTTTCATCCACATTTGGCCACTGAAAGGTCTGTTTGCATTCTCACCTATAGAAGAATCTAGTCTATGTCTCTCCAGTAAGTTGTTTTGTTAATGCCACAAGGATTTTTTTAAAAAAATTAACCTTCACTGGCACATACCACTAGTTTCAAGTTCACATTTGTGCTGAATTTTATTTTTATAAACACAGATTGCAGCCATAATGGTCCTAGAGTAGGTAGAGGAAAGGCATAAGGTAAATGTTTTTCTTCAGCACCAATAGGACCTCTTATCCTGAAAGTTCATGTTGCAGATTAAAATTTACATTGCTTTAAGAGCAAGTATCTCTCCATAAATATTATGGCCTTCCATATTGTTCATAGACTTTTTAGGATCCACTTGTGCATGTAATTGAGGAGGATACCTCCTCTTAATATAGCACTTTTCAATTCTCTCTAAAGAAATACTTTAATACTACTTCTAATCACATGTTGTAAAGTTTCGTGTAATAGTGTTTTCTGTGACTAAAACTCCATTTTGATCGGCAGCTAAGACTTTTTTTCTGTGGCTTTAATTTATCTGAGGTCTTTGCATATAGATGAAATTATAATTTGCCTGGAGGACTGTTTGCATTGTACGGCCTTAGTATGTTTATTGACATTAACAAGTGTTTTAAAGAGGTTTTTAATGAATAGTCTAAACCTAAATCTATGTGAATAATAATCCTTTAACAGTGCATTTCTTTTTGTAGCTGACTGTCTAAGCGTGTTAAATTGTTTAAGCTATTTCTTTGTAAAATAGTACAATGGAATGCATAGAGGTTTTTTTCCTGTAAAGTATTTTTTTAATAAACAAAGTCTGATTTGTCCTTTAATAAAGTCTCTCATTTATAGCATAAAGTGGGTAGATTCAAATGTATATGAAGTTTAAAAATGTAGCACCTCCTTGTAGTTGAAATCCCTGTGGTTTACCCTGGAGCTATTGAAAATATAGATTCTTTCCACTTTTCTTATATTCATAGAAATGTTAATTGTTCCTCCTGTACAAGAGAAGTTGGCAGGTCTCTGAAAAAATCCCATATGTCAGCTAGTTGCATTTCACCACCAAGATAGTTTTCCAGGAGAGAAAATTACTTTGGGCACATATTTGCTTATGCTTGCTGCTTCTTTGGATTGATTTGAACCCTGAGTAGAATAGAAGCCTCTTGAAAGCAGAGATTTTTCTTTTTTCATTACGAGGAGTTGGCATAATACCTTGTTTACATTTGGGAGCAGGTACTGGGCCCGTGGCTTCATTGACAGAGGGAAATCCATGAGTGAGGAAGCTAACAGTGAAGGTTGCCTTCTCTGCAACTTAGTCTTAGTTTCTTAGAGCACTGAGAGCTGGCTTGCCTCCACTGCCTCAATATTTGTCAGAACTTTGGACCTGAACCCGAGTCTTCCTGATTACAAAGCTGGCTCTATTCACTCTGCCATACTGTACGCATGTAGGCAGTTAATGTTTTTTTTTTAATTGAGTTGAATCCATAATGAAGATACATAAACATTAGACTTCTGAAAAGTTAAAAGTTCTGCATTAAAATGTGAAATTCCCAGGTATTGGAAGAGGATCTTTTGGAGTAATGGGATTTTCTTTCTCAGAATTTAGTGCCAAGTAGTTGGTATCTGAGAAACACATTCAGAAAATCCAGATACTCAGTCCCTGGCCCTTGCTCAGATTAACTGAAAGTTATTTTAAGTCCTCATTTCCCCCAGTCTGTAGAATTGAAGATAATGTTTGCAATACTGACTGATCGGATGATCATGAAGAAATCAATTGGTAAACTCTCAAGTATTTCAAAATTATGAATTGTTGGTAAGTTGCCTTAATGGAGCCCCCTTCCTAAATCTACAGATCAACGTTCTGGTTCAGTGCTGTAGCTAGCACTGAACACTAATCAAATGGGATATGAAGATGACAGGGATATTTTCTCTTGATAGAAACAGCAAATTAAAAAATACACAGATACACAGTTCCCCAGTGCTGCTTCTAGAATGATCTGGCTTCCCTTCCACCTCTTTTTCCCTCTTGGCTTTAAATTTTTTTTTTTTTTTTTTTTTTTTTTAGTTTTCAGGCAATTGGGGTTAAGTGACTTGCCCAGGGTCACACAGCTATTAAGTGTCAAGTGTTGGTCTGCGGGCGGATTTGAACCCAGGTCCTCCTGACTTCAGGGCCAGTGCTCTATCCACTGCGCCACCTAGCTCCTCCGGCTTTAAATTTAAGACTTCAAATTATGTATTTGCATTTTGAAGTTAAAATACTTTTGCTGCCATTCAGTTTAAGTGCTTTATACAAACACATCAAAGAAGCCGTGTGGTATAGTGGAAAGGGTGCTAGATTAGATTCAGAAGACATAGGTCCAAATGCCGGGTCCCCTGCTTGATGTGACTGAGGGCCAGGTTGCTTAACTTCAAGGGGGGGAACCCTCAGTTTCCTCATCAGTAAAAGTAGAGGTTTGAACTCAAAATATTCAAGGGTCTTTCCAGCTTTAAAATTCTCATGTGTTTAAAGAATTCCGGTTATTATTTTATCTTTCCATATCCTTAATTAACCTTAGTTGGCCTCTGCCTTAGGGTCCACAAGATTATAGGATGAGGGACACAAAGTTTTAAGCACATACACAGAAAAAAAGTTTCTAAAAATTGTAACGAGATGATTTAAAAAGCTACAACCCTCAAGTTTTGCATCAACCGCTCATTGACTTAAGGTGTCGGAAGCGAGGGCATTAAACAGACCGGTGCTGGTCATCGAGGGGCGGGGGCGGCCTCAGGGCTCTTCTCCCCCTAGTGGCTGAAGCAGTCCGAGACGAAGCCTTTCCTTCTGCCCTAATTTGATTCTAAAGGGGCAGGCCTTCACTCGTATGGGAGAAAGTGTCACTGTAACTGGTTCGTTCCAATTCCACGTATCGCGTGCATTATAAAACCTCTCTGGGGAGGGGGCCGGAGGCGTCTCCCGGTGCTCGGGTCAGGCCGGGGGGGGGTCTGCGCTCCGGTCCCGCCCCACCTGAGCTCGCTTCCCGCAGAGGCCGGCGCCCAGGGGCGGAGCCACCCTCCCCGCTCCGGAAGCCCGCCGGGAGGAAGCGCTCGGGGCTGCCGCTGTCCGTGGGCTATCGGAGGCTCGGAGCCGAGCTCGCCGCCGGGACGTGGCACCTGCGCCCCCGAGCGCCGAAGGAACGTTAATCCGCCCAGCTCTCCTGCCTGTGCCCCTCGGCCCAATGGCGCGCTAACTCGGCCTCGGAGCCCCGGGCTTCCGGGCCAACCGCCTCTCCCCGACTCCCCTGCCCCTCCCCGCGAGCACGCAGGACGGCGGACGTCGACGGACGCACGCACGGCGCGGGCGTCGCGCCCGGCCGGCCGGAGGCAGGCTGGCGCGAGCGCCGCGGTCTCCATGGTAACCGCCTCCTCGGGTGTCTCCTCCTCAGGGGGAAGATGTGGCCTGCGGGCCCTGCGGCCTGGCCGGGACCACTGAAAATAGCGGTCCCGGCCGCCGAACTGAGGGGCAACCGGCACCAGGTGAGAGCGCTACGGTCGGAGAGGGTGGGGGTGAGGCGACGCGGTCCGGGGAGACGGTGAGCCCCGGCAGCCGGCCCTCGTCCCCACCCGGCGGACGCCCCCTCCCCCGGGGCATCCCCGAGCGTCGCTGCCGCTGCCGTCCGCCGCAGTCGCTGCTGCTGCCGCCGCCTCACCCCGAGGCCCCGGGAAAGGCCCGGGGAGGGAGCCTCCGAGCCTGGCAACTGCCCGCCTCGCTCACGCGTTTTCCCTCGCTCTCCGTGGAATCCCGTTCTCAGGAGACTCACAGATGGACGCAAATGAGAGAGATGCCATTTCGTGGTACCAAAAAAAGGTGAGCGCGCCCCTCCCTCACCCGGGGGGAGGGGCGCCTGAGCTCGGGCGGAACCAGGGCCTCAGCTGACCCTGCGCCTCTCTTAGGCACCCCCCCGGCGCTGCTCCTCCAACCTGGGGCGTGGTATCTGGGTTCTGCCCCTAGCCCCCGGCAGCTGGAACCTGGGATGACCTATCCTCCCTGCCCCTACTCCGCCCGCACCCTTAGAAAAAGGAACCTTTCCCAGCCCTACGAGGATGCTTCTGTGCCCGGCGCTTTGATCTCTGGCCAGTGGTGGAGAGAAGGCGTTACCTCCTCCGACCCGGACGGCTGGAAGTTTGATGACTCATTCACTCTCCCTATCACTTCCCCAATCCAAACACACACCTGGTGGAAATCTCAGTTTGTTCCAAAGAAAGGTTCTCTTTTTAACTGCTATGCTGTATATAACAAGCCCTTATCTATTGCTTTCCTTTAGTTCCTCAATTAGTAATTTTCTTGAGAAATTGGAATATCTGCTGAAACCTCAATATGTATTCAATCTGACCTTTCCTTTAAAAAAATATTTAAACTAGTCATTAGGGCATTGTGAATCGTTTTATCCTTGGAAGTAATGGTTCTTTATAACCCAGGAAAACAGGTATGTTCCAGGAAGTTGGTTTTTTTTTATGGTGTTTTCACTAGTTTTCATGACATTTTTGGCAGGATTTGGTTTAAATTTAATTGTTTACATTAGGTCATTTGAGCAATCTGTTATCTGTTACAGATTGGAGCATATGATCAACAGATATGGGAAAAATCTATTGAACAGACCCAAATAAAGGTAAGCTGGTTTTGTTGATCCTGCTTCTATCCATAGCTTAGTTTTTTTAATGCATAAGGTGGGATATCCCTTTGATATCTCAGATTCGTGTTGTTCAAAGGGGAATGTATTTTCTTCCCCTTTAAACTCCTCTTCTCCAGAACTTTGGGCTACCATCCTCCCAGTCACACAGCTTCTTGAGCACACAGTCTTGCCTTCATCTTTCCACCCACTTTCAATCAGTTGCCCAGTCTTATCCAGTCTGCCTCTGTAACATATCGGAAATCTACCCCCTTAATACTACAACCCTTACTGTCTGTTGCATGGGTTATGGTAGTGGCATCCTAATTGGTCTCCCTGTCCCCATTGTCTTCCGTCTTCAATCTGTCTTCCACAGCTCTAAAAGAATTTTTCTGAAAGATCAGTCTTCCAGTGTTACCTCTCTGCTCAGAAATCTTGAGTGGCTCCCTACTGCTTCTATGATAAACTTCAAACAATTCCCTGCCCTTCTTCCACTAGCAGTTTAGGCCTGTTAAATCTAAAGGTTCAGCCTCCCTTTCTTGCCATATTTAATACTTGTTGTTGAGTCAGTTCAGTCATATCTGACTGTTTGTGACCCCATTTGGGGCTTTCTTGGCAAGTATACTGCAGTAGTTTACCATTTCCTTTTCCAGCTCATTTTACAGATGAGGAAACTGAGGCAAACAGGATTAAGTGACTTGCCCAGGGTCACACAGCTAATAAATGTCTGGAGGCTGGATTTGAACTCAAGTCTTCCTGACTCCAGGTGGGAACTTCTTCCACTGAGCCACCTAGCTGCCCCTTATTGAATACTGCTTTCCTGGTGCTCTCCGTACCAGACAAATTTGATTGCTAGCTGATTTCTTAAACTCAGCATTTCATCATAAAATTTCATCATAAATGCTCATACCTAGAATGTACTCTTTTCATCTCCAGCTCATTGTCCAAAATAGGCTTCCTCTTTCTCCCCAAACCTAACCCTCTTCTGAATTAACCTTGTTTGTATAAGGTACCACCATTCTTCCAGTCATCCAGGTTTTATGGTCTCACAGTCACCCTTGATTCCTCACTCTCTCTTTGGTTCTACCTCGGGGTCGTCTCTCGCGTCTATCCCTTTCTTTCCACTGGCCTGCCTCCGCTCTAGCGGCTCTTACTACTCCGGCTCAGTCTCTCTCCCCTGAAGTGTTGTAGTAGTTCACATTGTTCTCTCTGCCTTTCATCTTAGCCATCCTCTGCATAGCTGCCAAAGTGATATTCCTAACTCAAGATCAATGGTGCCTATTACAACTTGGCTCCAGCCTGCTTCTCCAGGCTTATTATACATTACTCTCATTCTTGTTCTCTCTCTTCCATCCAGCCAAACTGGATGTCTTCATCTATGATATTTCTTCTTCCATCTGTGTGCCTTTGCATGGACTCTCTGTCCCCATGCCTGACATGCACTCCCATGTCATCACCTCCACCTCTTAGAATTCCTTGTTTCCTTCGAAGTCCACTCCAACCACCTCTTACATGAGGCTCTTCCTGATAACCCCTTTAGCTGCTGGTGACTCCTTGCTGAATTTACCTTGCATTTACTTTGCATGTTGTACAATATACAATTGAATGTAAGCTCCTTGAGGAGAGGCACTATTTGATTTTTGTCTTTGAATCCTCCGTGCCTAGCCCAGTGCTGTGCATGTGTAGCAGGTGCTCAATGAATGCTTGTTGATTTAAGTCTTAGACCAGGTACCGCCTCCCTTACTTCCTCCCCAGTTATCAATGTTCTTTCTGTCTTCTAAGCCATTTGCTTTTTTTTGTGTTTACTTCTTTATGTGCATGTCATATTCCGCCTAGTAGAGTATAAAGTCCTTAAGGTTGTGTAATGTGTGTTCATCTTTTGTTTTTGTATCCCTAAGCTTAGCATATGCCATGCATATATTAAGCATTTAATAAATGTTGAATTAATTTGAGTATTGTACTATTTCTGTTATGTAGTGTAAAGTGATATCAAGCAAAGTGGGCAATTTTTATTCTTTCTAAGATATAAGATAATTGTCTTTGTGGGGGAAACTTATATATGTGTAAATGTAGCCCATTTTATTTAAGCAGCATAGTGTAGTGTGTAGAGCACTAGATTAGGAGTCAGAAACACTTGGGTTTGAATTCTGTTCATACACTTAGTAGCTTTGTGACCCTGGGCAAGTCACAACCTTCTTGGGCGTAAGTGTCCTGGGAAATGAGGGGATTGAACTTGATGATCTCTAAGATTCTTTTAACTCTAAGTCTGTAATCTTATGATTCATTATGAGGTATGATTACAATTAATTTCACTTAAAAATCATTTAACATAATTTCAGACTTAAGTGACTTTAGAATAAAAGTCATTCTCTCTGAGGCACAGAACCTCCTGAACTTCCCAAGAAGAAAATTAAGACCATCAAAAATGAAATAAAAAAAAAATAAAATGAAGCAATTCTTTATCTTTCCTTTCCACTTCTCTACACATCTCTGAGCTTTCATCCATTCTTTCTTCCTTTACTCAGGGAAAATGGTGTCTTTTTTCCTTACCAAGGATAGCCTTTCCACCTGTGCCTTTGATCCCATCCCTACCTGTCTCTTATACCTTGTTCTATCAGTCCTCCCCCCCTTGCTAATACATCTTCAGTCTCTCTCCACGGCTTCTTTGCCTCCTTATACAAACATGTTTGAATCTTCCTGTATTCTAAAAAACAAAAGCAGAACCTAACGTGGGTAACAGTGAACAAGACATTTAACCTCAAAGCATCTTCCTCTAAAAAAGAGGAATAATATCTATTTTAGTAAATGAGATTATATTTGTAAAGAGCTTAGCCCAGTGCCTGGCACATAGTAGATTCTGTATAAATGCTTATTCCCTCCCTTTTCCCTATTAGCTATCTCAAAGTTATTGTTGGGTTCAGATGAAACAATGTTTGCAAAATGCTTTGCCAAGCACGCTACATAATTGTCAGCTGTTATTTCCACTTGGATGTCCCAGCAGCACTAAAAACTCATCATGGCAAAGAAAGAATTTAGGTTGCTCTCCCCAAACTTGTTCTTCCCCCTAACTCTTCTCTTTGCAACAGTATCGCCTCTTCCAAGTTATCTGTTCTTGAAACTTTGTAGTCACTTTTTAACTCTTTTGTGCTCTCTTCCTCCAGATGCAGTTGGTTACCACATCCCTCCTGTTGGCCTCTCTTTTCCATTCCCTCTACAAACCACCCTAGTTCAGACACTCCTCTATTATGATGGTCTTTTAACTGGTATTTCTTTGTTTTCTCCTATTTCCAGTTCATCCTTCACACTATTGTCTGTGTAAGCTTGCTATTCTATTATACTCCTATCTCTCTCACGGGGTTGTAAGGAAAATGATTTGTAAACCTTAAAGTCCCATATATTCAATTAAATTATTAAATATTTATAAATACCTACTTTGTGTAAGGCAGATCTTATATACTCATAAATGTGAGTAGTTCTTATTACTACTCTAAAACTTTAAGTAGTTTCCTGTCGTCTACTGAATAAATAGAAACCTATTATCCTGGTACTCAGGCCCTATATAATTTGACCTCTCTAGCCATATCTCTACTTACTCCCCTTCATATACTTTCTTTCAGACAAACTGGACTACTATGTCTCCGGCCTCCCCTGTTTTCATCTTGCCCTCTCCTATTTCTTGCCTTTGTCCTTACTGTTTCCTGTCTTTGGAATGTACTCACCATTCTCCCTATCTCTGCCTGTCACTATCCCTCCTTTCTTCTTCCAATACCTAGTTGATGCCACTATCTCCATGTCTTCCCTAATCAATCTAGCTGAAAATGAGCTCTCTCATATTTCTTTTCTTATTCCTGCCATTAGAATGCAAGCTCTTTCAAGGGAAATCTGCTTCTTATTTCATGGATGTATCCCCATGCTTATGCAGTGCTTTGTATATAGGAAATATTTACTAAACATTTATGGGTTCAGTATGAATTTGAAGGATATTATAATACTTTATAGATATTACTAGGTTAGAATTCCAGTAAGTTAAAAAAAAAAAGTATAATGATTATCTTGACCATAAAGCTAGGGAGTGTAAAGGTAGTTTGAGGATCTATAGCAAAATAATATTGAGGTAAATGACCATGTAACTAATTTCTGATGCTGCATTATATTTTTACTTTCAGTATTTTTATTTTGTACTTGATTTTGAATATGTTATAATATTGTCATTAAAACTTTGTTGTCAGTATTTTGCATCTCTTAGTAAGAAATTAAAAATCTTTACAGAGTGTTCCTTTTAAAAAAGTGATTTTAAAATTTGTTGCCATCTTAATTGTAATTTTATTGCATTTTAGCCAAAATGTTTTCCACTGTAACATTGTGTCTTTTATAATTTGAGGAAATTTAGAAAAAGAGATTTTTATAATACAGCTTTTTTTTATAGCCAGCTTTTCTGTATGTCTTTTTAGTTAAGTAGAATGAAAGACAAATACTGACTACACACAGAATGGAAGTGCAGTTAGTAAATTCTTAAATCAAATTTTTTATATTTCAATTCTAATGACTAAGCATTTTAATCTCCCTTTATGTCTTAATCAGGAGTGTGTCCACATTTAAGTGCTATCTAATCATGATTCTTGAGTTGAAGTCCAGATTCAGTCACTTTAATGTACTGACTTTCAGCAGGGAGTCAGAAACTGGTGAAATGACAACTTGAGGTGGAAAAGATGGAATATATCATGAATGTGCTAGTTATTTTTTCTATATAGGCTATAGATGACATAAATATGGTATACTTAAATATGTGGAACCAGAAAATTACTAAGAGGATTGTGACTTTTACAAAATGTGGAATTTCTTTGTAAGCTATTACAAAAGCTGTGTTAGAAATAGGGACAAGACCTCTGATTTTGTTTGTTTTCTTCTACTAATGCAGGTCAACACTTTCTCTGTAATTTGTAGTCTTATAATATTGCCTAGAACTCTATGAGGTCAATAGACTTGCCTTGGGTCACACCTGTACGTGTCAGTGGTGGGACTTGTACCAGGGTCTTTCTGTCTCCAAGTCTAGCTGCCATCCGTTATACCAGGCTGCCTCTCATCTCTGTATTAAGGTAGTTAATTGTAGGACTGCTCCCATTCTGGATGAATTAAAAAAAATTTTTTTTTGATAGAAATTCTGGGATGCAAAGGTGTTCCTTAGAGATCTCTTATATATTAATATTTTTAGGGGAAAAAAAACTTTATGGTATTTAGTAACTCGTTTTGTAAGATGACTATTGGGTGATAGAGTTCCTTAAGATAAACTGCTAGAGAAAACATAGGCTTTCAAAAGATCTCATTGGGAAACTGAAAAATAGACTTTGCTGCTTTGAAAGAATTTTAGGATTAAAGCTCTTTCTGTGGACCAAATAATGTAAAGAAATATAAACATAGATGGTTCTTTCTGTTTTAAAAGTTATTTTTCTTTAAAATCCTAGGGCTTCAAAAGCAAACCAAAAAAGACAGGTCACATAAAGCCTGACTTGATTGATGTCGACTTAATCAGAGGTGGGTTCTAAAATCCGTCCCATTCTTGATCTGTTCTAAGCTTTTATTAATTAAAAATTGTTGTCAATATGTTGTCCTTAAGAAATACATTAATGGGGTATTTTTTATTTACAAAATTCCTTTTCCTCTTCTGTTACTTGCAGAGCCATGATTCAGTGGTCATAGTAGTTCACTATTTTTAGTCTCCTAGATGTTTTTCTTATCCTTAGTCCTGCCTTGCTATAAATGTGGAGGTGCAAACATTTAAGGAGTTCTGCTGAGTCTGCCCTGGAATAAAATAGGTTTTTGGGGTGGGAATGGTTTAAGAGAATGCACTAGACCTCTTTATGGCTGTCAGGCCCAGAAGGATATGAGGACTGGGGGGGTTGGGTGTGTGTCGGGGGGAGAGACAAAGAAGATTGGAAATAGAGAGTTTGTAAGACTTTTCCATTGGACCAACTTTAAGAGTTTCTAATTTGCTGTGGGATAAGATAAGTGGGGGGTGGTGATAGAAGGGAGGGCAGATCGGGAGAAGGGGTATTCAGAATGCATGCCATCTTGGGGTAGGGGGAGGGAAGAAATGTGGAGAAAATTTGGAACTCAAGATGTTATGTGGAAGCAAATGTTGAAAACTAAAAATACAATAAATTAAAAAGAAAAAAAATATCTTCCATCCCCCTGAACTATGAAAGATCAGGTGTAAATGGATATGCTAGCAAGGACACATTCTTTTCTTCATAACATCTTTTTGTTTTATTAGGTATCTTTTCCTGCCTATTTGCTTTATCTGCTCTTAGCAAAACTTCTTTGTAAGAAGCTATTACTCTCTCTGGTGCAGGGAGCTCTGAAAGAGAGAATACTCGAATGTATATCATCTATATCATCAGCAGAATTGTGAGGAAAGCCTTTAAGGCTACATTTTACTCTACTAATTCAAATACTTTTTGTAGTGAACAAAAACTAAACACAGTGAGAGCTTGTATTTTCTTTATCAGCCAACTGTATAGCTATAAAGATGCAGTCTGCTATAGATTGTTTGTGAAAAATATTCATCCAGGATACCCTTAATACATATGTACATGTGTCATCTGTGAAATTGTGAGGTGCACACACGTTTTCATTACCTACTGATAGTATGTATCACACTCTTGAATAAACTGCAGTTTACTTGTCTAAAAAATAAAAAGAGTTTCTGATTTGGTCTTTAACCTATTACTAATTGATAATAGAGTGATAAAATTGTAGACATAAGCATCAGATATGTATCTCTAGTCCTGACCCACCTGAAGCTATCTGCCTTTCGTACTAGTTCACCTTTTTACCTGTCTGTCCTGTTGACATCTTCAACTCAACCTGTCCAAAATCAAATCCATCCTCTCACTCATCCCCAGCCTTAATTTCTTTTAACTTTTCCATTTTTGTTTATATCACCACCATTTTCCTACTCAACCAATGAACTTTGTCACCTTTGATTTTTCCTTCTTCATTGTCATCATAATTGCCAAGTCTATCCATTCGGTCTCTGCAATATATTTTGTATTCACCCTTTACTTTTCATTCTTACTTCTACTGCCTTGATTTAGACTCAAATTACTTCTCACCTCTACTAGAATAGCTTCCTAACAAGTTTTTCTGTCTCCATTTCTCCCCCCAGCACCATCCATCATTTACACAGGGATTGCTAACCTGGGGGTCTAGGAACTTGTAAAAAATATTTTGATGATGATGATGATGATGATTATATGATTGGTTTCCTTTGTAATCTTGTTTTATTTTATGCATTTAAAAACTTTATTCTGAGAAAGGGATCTATGATCCAAAAAAGGTTAAGAACCCCTGACCTACATTATTACTAGATGAATATCTCTGATGCATAATTTTGATCATTTTGCCCCATTTTCAAAAATAAAAACTGTTTGCCTCTTTTGTTAAACCATTGCCTATAGAATAAAATACAATCTCCTTAATTCGGCATTTAAGCCCTTCTACCATCTATATTCAGTTTACCTCTCTAGCCTTGTCTTATGCTAATTGCCCTCACATATTCTGTGTTCCAGGCCAAAGTAGGAAAATCATCATTCATCTGACACATTTGTATTTTCCCACCTCTGTGTTTGTGCTCCTACCTTCCTATGCCTAAAGTATTGTTGCTCATCTGTTGAAATCTTACACTTCCTTCAAGGCCTCCTCAAATGCTACCACTTGTGAAGTCTTCCCTATTCTCTTCCAAGTGAAAACACATCAAAAATTAGTGGCCCATGAGGGTGAAGTGACTTACCTAGTGTTACACAGTGTTTGCTGCATTGTCCAGTCTCCTTTCTCTCACCCTCTGCCCTGCCTCTGCCCCTATCCCTACCCAACAGGAAACTTGTAACACTTCATACTTCTTGAGGCATCATCATAGAGTGTAGTGAGCACTAGATTATATTCAGGAGAAACCTGAGTTCAAATCCCACTCTTAACACTTACTAGTCACACAGTCACTTGGCCTTTGAGGCTGTTTCACCAGTGGTAAAATGAGGACAATAGTACTTGCTTCATTTGCCTTGTGAGTTAGGTAGTACAGGTACTTCATAAACCCTAAAGCTGTATGGAAATGTGCTGCTTGTCCTTGTTTTTCCTAAGTACCTACTCCGATGTCCATGTTAGTTTAAATGTATAATAAATCAGTGAAATGTGTGTGGTTAATGACAAGTTGAAATATGTGTTGCTTTGTTTGTTTCAAGGCTCAACATTTGCCAAAGCCAAACCTGAAATTCCATGGACATCACTAACTCGGAAGGGAATTGTTCGGGTTATTTGTTTTCCATTGTTCAGCAAATGGTGGATTCAGGTTACCTCTTTACGAATCTTTATTTGGCTGCTACTGCTTTACCTCATGCAAGGTAACTAAAAGTGTTGAGCAACTTTTGTGTAACTATCTATGCTGCTTCACATTTTGCCATTCCACTCACTTGATATGGTCTAATAAAGACCTATATTTCACTTTTTGTGCCTTTTATCTGCTAATTTCATGGTTTCTTCTGATCTGTCATCTGTCAGGAAACCATTCCTTCCTCAGTCAATCAGTAAGCATTTATTAAGTACCTATTGTGTCCCAGACACTGCCTAGCATTAGGTATGAAAACACAAAAATGAAGTAGTCCTTGCCATCAGGAAACTTAAATTCTATTGAGGGAAACAATATGTATATACAAAATGGGTACAAAGTAACTACCTCATTCTTACTTTTATTTCATCCTTCCTAGTGCTCTGAAGTACCACTTTCTCAAGGAAATTAATTGTCCCTCTCTTCCCCACCTCACACCCTTCCTCTCCACAACTGCAAGGGTTTTCTCCCTCTGTAACCTTCTTGTTTTTTTGTACCTATCACATTCTACTTGGTATCATTTGCATATGTCATAGCCCCTGGACTAGACCATAAGGTTCTTGAGGGCAAGGTTAGTATTGCTTTTGCTGTCTGTATCCCCAGCACCCATTACAGTGCCTTAGCATAATAGTAGGTGACTTATTTGTTGGAATGACTGAGACCAAGTTACATACAAAATCAGTTACAGTATTGTAAGGATGATACTTACAGTGATCCACTTTAACATGTGGTCTCTAAGAACACATATTAAAATTAGTGACATTCTGTACCACCCTTTTGTTCAGTACAGTGCCTAGCACATAGTAGGTGCTTAATGTTGATTGATTGATTGTTGGAAGTATAAAAGTCATGACAAGTGATAGTTGTACAAGTGATAGAAACTGTCATAATGTTTTCTGTCCATTGCTGTGTTCTAGACAAGACAGCACCTAAAAATATGTTTCCTTGGTTTCTAGCTTTATGAATAATAAGATCCCCAGGGAAGAGACCTTGCAATGTAAATTTACTCAGACTGAAATAGACAGGGTTTTTTAATCTGAGTTGCCTTGGTCTTACACTGTAGTCTAAGGGTCTGGGTCCTGCTATCTGTGTAGCCTTGCTGACATGTCAATGGTGTCAGGTTTGTGCTGCAGTCTTTCTTTTTAACTAGTGGACTTGACTATTAATTTTTAATTTTACTTCGTAAATTTGGTGAGGCTCTCCTTTATATGTGATGTTTTTTATCTTCATGATGTCTCTCAGTGAGGATTCCATATAGTTTTTCAAACATGTGAGTTGTGTTTTATGGTGTGGTAGAATTTCCAGTAGTCCTTTGAGGTTTGATTAGGGTTTATTAGGAAAGGTCATAGGATCATAGATTTAAAACTAGATGGTCCTTGAATTCAGTCCCTTCATTTTACACATGAAGAAACTGAGGCCCATGAAGGTGAAGTGATTTACCCAGGGTCACACACTTAGTAAATGCCGGAGGTAGCTTTTGAACCCGGGTTTTCCTGACTTCAAGTCTGTCACTCAATTCATTACACTGTATTGCCTCTCAGAAAAAGGGGCAAGAAATGAGACTAGCTTGCATCTTCAGCGTCTGTTGGACATAAATTACTTTAGTCCTTTTTTATAACCTAAATTTGCCTCTCAACTTTCCAAAACTCTTAAATCCTGACTACTTGAATTAATTATAATTATTTACATATAGATATCATAATTTTCGTGGTGTATCCTCTTCAAAAGGAAAAATTGTGCATAGTGCCAAAAAACACAACCTTTGGTGATTATGCCTAGACCTTATTCATATAGCTCTTCACAGAATTTTATTGTCAATAGGTAAATAAATTTCTTTGTGAAGTAAGATAAAATTACATATATGCACTTTGAAACTTTAGTAAAATGGTGAATATTGTAAAATTAATTAGGAGTAGTTGGGAATCAATTAAAGATACTCCTTCATATAGCTTTTCACACTCTGAAACTTCTCCTTTTCAGTTATAGCATTTGTGTTGTATTTCGTAATGCCTGTTGTGAATGTAAGTGAAGTGATTGGTCCAATGTGCCTTATGCTATTGATGGGAACTGTCCACTGTCAAATAGTCTCCACTCAGATTGCTAAACCTTCAGGAACCAATGGAAACCGGAGGAGGAGGTAAAATGAGAAATTATATTTGTAATTATATATTTTCTGGAAAGAGATATTTTATGCACAAATTTTAAAAATCATTGTATGAAAATCTTTGCATCTTTGCTTATGTGCTTCTTTCCAACTTTGTTTTCTATGATTTTTATAATGAGTGATTATAAAAATTATCCTTATGTGTCAATTTGCCTATGAACTTTTAGCTTATTTTGAGTTGGAATTCTTTCACTCTAAATGATTCTGTTAAAAATTAAATCTAGTGTCATTCACTGTGAGTACCTTGTCTGCCAACAAAGACTGTAAACTCTATTTGACTTGGTAGACTGTCTTTAAGAGACTCTCTGGCCAAAAAATTCAACACACACTGGTAAACATGATGATGATCTTCTCAGGGCTTAGCTAGGTTGATCTTTGGATGATATATATTATAGGCCATCACTAGGTCTATGAATTTTGTGACATTCAGTTTTACTAATCTTTTTATAATGGTACATGCAAGCAATCTCTTCTCAAATCCAACTTCCCAATCAAAAGTGGGTGAAAATTCAGTATAGTTAAAAGTTTAGCATGTTGTTATAGCATCCAACATGCTTTAAATCGGCTGCTTTCCCTTATTTGATACTCTTAAACATAATTTCTAAAGCTATTTAAGCTTTAACAGAAGTTAATTTAATTTTACTTTGTTACATGTAACTGAAATTCAAGTGATAGTTTTACAGATTGTAAGATATGTCTGTGTTTTAGTCATGGTAAAAGGCATGTTTCTTAGGTAACTAAATGTTTGTCTCATTTTTCCACTTAATCTGTATAATTCTGTTCTACACACATGATCTCATAAGTTATTTTCTGTTTAGTTGCAGTGAGTATTGGTGTATTCTTATTTTTGAATGCCATTTGTTGATTTTGTTTCTATGTCATAAAAGGAGAATTAAATTTCATCACAGCCAAACAACGTGATAAGCTTTCTATGAAAATGAAGTGCTATATCTCTGTCATTAGTATTTGCTGCATGTCCCATCCATCTGGATAGGATGCCAGCAAAAAGACATCTATGACCTTTACTACATCTGTATATTAGCTCCATTCTCTTAATGCTGGGACAAATTTCTTCTGCCTAGGCCTTCACTGGGTCTGGATTTTTTTTGTTTTTTATTTTTTGGTCATCCTTTGTATTTGAAGTTAACTGCTGTTGTTGCTGGTGCTATCTATTGAAGTGCTTGAAGAGAGTCTTTTGTGTATGTGAAGACAACTTTCGTCTGCACTTGATACTTCTCGATAGTGATTGACTCTTTTGTGATTACGTAAAATGATATCTTAGGCCACTCACTTCCATAGAACTTTGGATTTGGGACTTTATATATTGCCAATAGTTACCTCACCACATTGTCTAAATCTCATGTGTTCTTGGTGTGTCATCTTCCTTCGCTATGTAGGTTTGACTGTACATGATGTCAGGAAGATGGTGGTTTGTTGCAAAAGTATGCAGATTTAAAGTATGTATAGCTCTGTTTCTTGGTATAATCTTGAGTATTTGGATGTTCAGTGTGGCAGAAGAGAGAAGGGTTTGAATAATCTGAAGTTGTTGAAATGTTCTTTTGTAGAAAATTACGAAAAACTGTAAATGGTGATGGGAGCAGAGAGTGTGGAAGTTATAACTGCTCTGATAAAGTCAGAGGAGTAGAATCTTCGGAATCTGCATCCCTAAATGGTGGTTTTTGGGGGACTCTCTTTTGCAACAGGTGGGAAGTCTTACATTGAAATTTTGTTTGATTTTATATTTACATTCATACTTACATATAATAGCTACACAATCAGAGTAGGTTTTTAAATTATAGTTTACTTGTATATGCTGATTTACAGTTATAAAGCACCTTACATCCATTCACATTTAATTCTTACAATAACTAAGGTATTATCCTCATTTTATAGGTGATACTGTGACTCAGAGAGGTTGAGCAAACTTCTAATGCTAATAGTAAGGGGAGCCAGCACTTGAAGCCAGGTCTTCCGACTCCAAGTCTAGTGCTCTGGGTAGGCTTTGTGGTATAATTTTAAGGGTTCTCTAAAGACCTCTTTGCTCCCTAACCTTCCACTGCCTATCTTGGTACCTGGATTCATTCCTTTGTGTTTAAAAGGCTTTTAGTTTTCAGAAACCTCCTATTAAAATCCAAATACCCTTGGGATTGTTAACACCCTAATTTATTTCAGCTAACAATTTTGGAGGAGATTAAGAGGAACTAGATGCTTTCCATTGTGACAGTTAGTGGAAGGTAAAGCTTAACAGGAATGAGATATAGAGTCAGTTTTGCCTTGAGTTTTTGACTTAAAAAATGGTTTACTTTAATGTCTTGATGATTTAATAATAAAAATACAGTTGTGTTTTATTAATTTGTCTGTAGTTATAAGGTGTTTTCATACTCATCAGTTGATGTTCTCATAGAATTAGGGCAACTCTGCCTGTTCTTTCTACCCTCTTTGCTGCTTCATCACCTTCCTTCCAAGGTTCTGTTGTAGTACATTTCCCCCCCTCTGCCTACATGTTCTTCTTGGTGAACTCATCTATTTCCATGGCTTTAGCAGTCATCTCTATGCAGATGGTTCAAAAGTTTCTGTCTGTTTCATCGTCTCCTTAGAACTTCATCCTATCTGCTGAATAATGGTACCTGAATTGTTTGCTAACCCCTTAGACTTAATATTTTCTTTCCAATATAAACCTTCTCTTTACCCTAATTTCTCTACTTCTGTTAATGTCTCTACCATCTCTTAGCTACCTAGACTCTCACACATCATCTGGCCTTTCCTCTCCACTCTACCTTAATGTAGACCCTCATTTGTCGTCTCCAAACTATTATAATCTCCTCCTAAACAATTGTCTCAGTTCTATCCTTTCTCCAGTATATTTTCCATATGAATGTCCCACTAATCTTCTCAGTGCACTACTGTGATTGCTTCTTTATTCAAAACTCTTTAAATGCCAAATGCCTGCAGAGTAAACTCCTGACCCTGGCATTCAAGGCCCTCATCCCACAGGCACCAGCCTGCCGAACCAGCTTTCATTTGTATTATTCCCCTTCACGGATAGTTTCAACCAACTCAGATTATGCTACATATCTCCTCCTTAAGATCACAGGATCATCAATTAGAGCTGGATGAGGCCTTAGAAACCATCTAGTGACTAACCCCTTTAGTTTTCTTATGAGGAACCTGGGGTCCATAGAGCTTACGTGACTTGCTCAAGGTCACATAGGGAGTAAATGCCAGAACCGGGATTCAAACTCATGTCTGTTGACTTTGCTTTTCTCTGGTAATATGATGCATCCATCGCTGTGCTTTTATTTAGGGCATGTTTGGAACAGACTCTCACCCTCACTTCCATCTGTTGAGTTTCTCTCTTTCTTCTGGACTTAACTCAGATGCCACTTTGCTCTGTGACTTTTTCCTCTATTCTCTCCCCTTGCCACATTTCATCACCTTCCCCTTTTCCAGCTAAAAGTGATCTTTCTTTCCTCAAATTTCTCCTAATATTTTGCCAGCCTTTTTTTTGTTTGTTTTATTATCACACTCTGCTTTGTTAATCATTTGTTTGCATATGTGTTATATTCTGTCACGTTATACCCCCCCCATCATTAGACTCCTCAAGAACAGGGACTGTGTTGTTTTTCGTCTTTGTATGTTTATTTTACCTCTGTAACATTTTTCATATTTGTATCTTTAGTGCCTACCACGTGGTAGTACTTAATAAATATCTATTAAACTGAAATTGTTGAATCCATCAGTACTCAAGTGATTGCCAATATACTTGATACTATTGGAGAATGGCTACAAAGGAAATATGTCATGGTCCCTTTTCTTGAGGATTTTCAGTATCGTTGAGTCAGGGCAATTAATATACACGACACAGTCAGAGAAGGGATAATCCAAGGCAGTATATTGTGTGATACTATTTAAAGGCCATAGGAATTCATAGGAGAAATTGATATGGAATACAAAACTAAGAGAAGACTTCCCAGGGGAGGTAAGAACTGAGTTGAGCCTTGAAGGATATGTAATATTTAGGTAGGCATTGGGGCAGAGGGGAAGAGAAGACATTCTTGGCAGAGGGCATGACGTGATCAGAAGTATGGAAGCAGAAATTGGTATGGCACTTGAAGATGATTGGAAATTATAAACCTTCCTCTCTCTTGAGTTGGCTGAATATTGCCTTCCTATCTCTTGCCAAGTTAGGGGCTACACAGAGTCACTTAAAAAAATGTATGTATAATTGAAAACACATGACTTGATATACAGTCAACAGAGAAGAGTGACTTTAGAAGATAAATACTTTTTAGAAACTACGAAGTTCATGATTATTTCTTCCCTATTTTCTTCAGTCGAACAAAAAGAGTGAAATTATTAACTGACAAAGGAATTGAAAGTGAAACTTCTCCAACTTGTTTGAATCTCAGCACAAAGAAAAAACATCCCCGATCAGAAATGAGAATATGGCAAGCAAGAGAGAAAGCAAAACTTTCAGATGGGGAAAAGAATCAGGTAAGATTTAAATGAGAAGTGTATCCTTAAAATATTCCTGTTCCTATTCATTCCAACCCTGTACTCTGTTAGAAATTCACGATAGATTATTTATAGTTTTGTACATAATCTTTTTATCAAATAAGCTAAACCTGAAAGTCACAATTGTAAAAACAAACAATTCAGTGAAGACTGTAGGTTGTTCATAGTCCTCAGGATTAGAAGGTATTCTTTAGCCCATTGAGCTAATGATGATAAACAGATAGTAGGTGAGGGGAAATTTCTATCTTTTTGATAGAAAATTATATGTGGGTTAATGAATCACTCCCCAAGAATATTTTAAGGAATTGCCTACTTAAGAAGACATTATAAAACTAACAATATATGTAATTTATAGTTTCAAAGGACATGGTTTTGTGTTTCTTAGACCTTAGTAGTAATTGAAATCTACTTTAGTATATTTTTTTTTTCAGTGTATTTATTAACAAAGATAGTTCTCTACTGGTATAAAAGAGGAGCTGTAAGTTGTGTTTCTTGCTGTATTTTGATCTTCACCTCAGGTTATGTCTTAGTGGAGTAGTGTGTGCTGTCCCCATTGAGGATATTCTTGTCCCCTTTTCAGGAAGGTTATAGACGTTTAGGAAATGGAGTTTCAGATGAGCTGTCGAGTGAAGATGACTGTGAAGAGCAGACACAGATGATCCTGTTACGCAGAAGTGTAGAAGGAGCCTCCAGTGACAATGGCTATGAAATCAAGAATGAAAAGCCATTGAGTTCTTCAAAACATGAAGGCACTCAAGTAATTTTAGTGTATTTACCCTTTACGTGGCTAATTTGGGGATTTTTTTTTGGTTGACTAAACATGCTTATAATGAATGTTACTTTTCTTGCTTTCTCAAGAAAAGAAGGGGAATGGGAAGGTGGGAGAAAGATTTTGGAGCTAGCAATTAAGTAAAATTGAATTTTAAAAAATAGAAATAAAAATATGAATTCCTTATAATTTGGATATTATACATTTCTTCAACCTGTGTTTCCACTATTTTTACTTTTATTTTTATGGTTAGGTAAAGAAAAATTCTACTTCAAGGTGGTGTCGACTGGTCCGAGATTCAGATAGCCTGGCTGAATCAGAGCTTGAGTCAGCTGCCTTTAGTCAGGTAAAGTACTTATTAAGCATAAATAGTAAGGATTAAATATCATTTTCATTGCATCCATCCATCCTCTTTAGCTGCCACAAAGCAGTAATACCAAGGGTTTAATAGTTTAAAATAAGAGTAGCATTTTTTAGCTATCTTGTCACCATTTGGATACTTTAGGGTAATCTTCAGGGTGTTTTATAGTAACTTTGTGATACTGTGACCTTGAAAAGTTTCAGCAGTGAGGATGATGAGAATGATGAGTAAAAGTTAGTCACTCAAAGAGTAAAAAGTTACTGATAGGCTGAAGTTTATTATCTTTTAGGAATACTTTACACATAAAAGAAGTTATTCAGATGAGTACATATCTTTGCCAAAGGATCTGAAATTGTAGCATTTGTTTTCATTTTATTGTCTGTAGATTTATCATCGAATTGTGACTCATTAAAGATCAGTAGCATATGACATTTGTATCAAAGGTGGTACAAGAGATTATTTTTTTCACTTACGGCAGTTAAGACAGTGGAGGATAGATGGTGGGTAGACCGTGTCCTGAGCAGCTGGGGTTGCAGAAGAACTTTAATGTGAGTACATACATTGGTTGTAAGAGTCTGTTTCTGCCTTCCTGTTCAGTAATTCAGCATTTATTAAGCACTTACTATGTGTACAACCTGCCAGGCACTGGGGTATGACCGCAAAACTAAAATTCATCACAGCTTTTTAGGAGCTTATATTATACTGGGAGATATATAAATACCATAGAATTTGAGGAAGGAGGAAGCACTGACCGCTAAGGGAGTCAGAAAAGGCTTCTCTTGAGAGATGGCACCTAAGGATTCTAAGAGGTGAAGGAGAGGAGGGAATGCATTTCCATCTGTGCAAGGTCACAGAAGCCAGGGATGGAATGCCACTTTGGTCATTTTGGATGGAACATGGAGTTGGTAAAGTGAAGTGATATGAAATAAGTCTGGATGGGTGGATTGGAGCCATGTTGTGAAGGATTTTAAGGAGTTTGTATTTTATCAGAGAAAGATTACGGAGGCACTGAATAGTCTTAGGGAGATGAGACATAATCAGACCTGGACTTTAAGAAGGTTATTTTGGTAGATGTGTGAAAGATGGATTGCAGGGGGGAAAAACTTGGATGCAAGGAGTCCAATTAGAAGGTTATTGTAATAATCCAAGTGAGAGGTGATGAAGACCTGAACTAGCGTGATGATCCTGTAATTAGAGCTGTGAGGGTGAAATTCTGAATGTTAAAGCGTATGGCTGGCATGTGAGACCTCAGAGTAGAGTGAATGGAGAAGAAATTGGCTACATTTTTGAAAACTTAATGAATGCTGTTTCTTCTTTGATGCGAAGGAGTCTCGGTCTGGTGTCAGTGGCGGTTCTAGAAGCTGTAGCCGGAGGGACTCGGAAAGCACCCGTCACGACTCAGAGACAGAGGACATGCTGTGGGATGACCTTTTGCATGGGCCTGAGTGCCGCTCATCAGCCACAAGCGACAGTGAGGAGACAAACGTGAAGGCCCTGCCCCCAGGCACCAAGCGGGATCCAAAAGAGGATGTTTTCCAACAGGTGTGTGCGGAAATCCTCATCCTTCTTGGGGGAAGGGACAAGCAGGAGGACAGACACATTTTCTTTTTATGTTTTTTTCTTGGTGTTCTTTAGTATGAGCCTTGATTAGTTATTTTGTGGTCCTCAGGTTGTTTTTTAATTTTAATTTTAATTTTTTTTTTTTTTTGGTGAGGCAGTTGGGGTTAAGTGACTTGCCCAGAGACACACAGTGTTATATGTCTGAGGCTGGATTTGAGCTCAGGTCCTTCTGACTCCAGGGCTAGTGCTTTATCCACTGTGCCACTTAGCTGCCCCGACCTCAGGTTGTTTGAAAATTTACTCTGTTTTATATTTTTGTAAGTATTGTCATATATGTGCATTCATAGAGAAAACTAAGATGCTTCGCCTGTGTGAAAATTGATGTTTGTGATTTTATTTTCCTGGGATTCTAGAGGGATTTTAGGAGGTACAAGGCACCATAGATTTGTTTATTTAGGAGTGTTAGAATTTTCAAAACTGTCCAATCTTCAAGAAAAAAAAAAGCCACTGAGGCAGAGTTCTGAGCCAATGGCACTTTATTCAAGGGTCCATGGTCCCCTCTAATGAAATAGACCTCAGATCTTCCTCACAATCTGAGATGCCCAGGGCCTCAGCTCTACAGTGCTTGATACTCAGACAATACAAGTAGTGTAGGCCAAAAATACAGAGGCTGATGGGTGGATAGACCTTGTCCTTGACCCTCCAGGAAGGTCTACATGTAATACAGAATCCCATTGGTTGACAAATGGACTAGTGAGCAGACCTTAACAGATGTCTTGACCTTCTAGGAGGTCCTACCAAAGTCAAAGAACAGGCTTATGGGGTTGGGCTGATGAGCAGATGTCAAAACATCTACATGGGCCAATGGGCTGGTAAAGAGGCAGGCCACAGTTGGGCAACCAGAGTCACTGATTGGCCCAGTGCTCTGTGTCATCTCCCCACGTTGGGCAATAGAGGGATCGCAAGGGATGGAGGGGCAACAAAAATAGCTGGAGGACTTTCCATGGAATTGAGTCACCTACCACTTTGGGCTTGGTCACCATAACAAGGAAAAACAAGGGTGGAGGCCCTCTGGTTAGCTTGCTATGATTGAACAAATGAACTTACAAACTGCAGTTCACAGCTCTGGGGCATAATATGCAGAATTTATAATCACCACCCCTTTGGAATCATAATGTCAAACTGACTAATACTGATTAGAATAAAATAGGGGTCCAATTAATCATCTGTCACAGGAGAGAGACACATTTTTTAGCTTTCAAGGAGAGAAAAACAAAAGGGAAAATGAGACAATTCATTAATGTAAACTAACCTCAGGTTCAGACCCAAATTAAGTTCATTGAAGGTCTTCAGAAGGTACCTAAAGGATCCCTAGGGAAAGCTCAAGAGGGATTTGGGCACATCTGGCCAGCGTACTTTCCATTTGTCATTTTGGCAGAAGCCATGGTTATCAGTGATTTCTCTTTTTGCCTAAACATTTCTTTTACAATGGTGCCATACAACAGACAGTTATTAAATGACTGCTATGTGGAGAGCCTTGTGTGAAGTGCCATTTAAAAGAGATTAAATTTATGTATTCCCTTCAAGTAAGTTGGGGGAGGAGGAGGATAAAATAAAACATCAACATAGGTAGTTATACTATCACATTATGTGCCCTGGAAAGTTATATTTTTTTAAAAATTGCTTACAGACTGGGTGGTTCAGAGAAGTCTTTTTGACTTCCTTCCCAGCCTTTAAGGGATGGTTAGGTATTAAACTCATGAGGAAGGGGAGGGAGCGCATTCCTGATATAGGGCACAGCTCGAGCCGAGGCTTGAGGGTACAGTATGTATTTGAGAGATGAAAAATGGTCATTTAACTGGAACCCAGTATTCATGGAGGTGAGCAGTGTAAGAAAAGCCTGGGAAGGGAAGGAGGGCGGGTCTTAAATATCAAACAAACAAGTCTGAACTTGGTAGAATGACTTGAAAGTCAGATGATGACTGATGAGCCTCACTAGAATGAATGGTGGTAAAGAAATAGTCTTTAAACAGTAGTTTACAGAGTATGCATTATAAGGAGACAAAGTGAGAAGGCAGGAAGTGATCAAAGTGGAAGGTAGAAGTGATTTCAGAAATTAAAGGATGACTCTGAAAGTAATGTGTTGAATTTTATTATATACTTTTTTAAAAAGTATTATATACTTTTTTAACAAGCTCTACCATCTCAGGGAGTAGGGAGGGGAAGGAGGGAGAGAATTTGGAACTCAAAAATTTTAAAAATGAATGTTAAAAATCGTTTTGAAATGTAATTGGGGAAAATATTTTTTTTAAAAGCAAACTCTATGTAATAGATATTAGTGATTTAACAGAATACCCCTTTTTTGTTCTAATTTGCATATGGGAATTTTTTTTTGGTGTTCATTAAGTTCAGAATAAAATCACAGATTTTAAAACATTAAAAAACATGGGAGAGGTTGATAAGAGTCTATTCAAAAAACCTCATTGTAAATAAACTAGGTCAGAGTTTGGAAATGAACTGGGGGAGAAAGAGGAATGATGATTAGAAGAGGGTCTAGATTTTGGAGGAGAAGGGAGAATGGACATCCTACTCACATGTATAGTGATACGACGAGATGCCTTGGACTGTGGAGTCAGTGCAAACTGAAGTAGATTGCCAGCAACTGCCTGAGAATTTGCAGTTAATCCAATCCAGAATTTGAGAGAGAATTTAGAACCTTACTATTTTGTTGTAGTTCTCCATCAGATTTCTCTTCCAGGTGTGAGGAAGTGGGCATCCAGGCTCTGGGCTTCCTTGGAGACCTATAGAGGAGTTGTTGAATGCATATCTGGTTTCCATTAAGTGTCTTGCATATAGTAAATGTTAAGTAAATATTTTTCTGAGGAAGTTTGAATGGAAAAACATAACCAGAATTCATTCAACAACAACATTTAACAGATATTGATTAAATGCCTGCTTTATGTAAAGCACTGTACTAACTCCTAAAAGAGAAACAAAAATTAAATAAAGCGTGATCCCTAGCCTCAGGGAACTAAATAATTTATGCACAGAAATAAATAATGTAAATTAGAACATAATTATATATGTGAGGTACAGACAAAATTTTATAAGAGTTTTGAAGAGGAAAAGATCGTTTTTACCAAGAATGGAATAAGGAAGATGAAGATTTTAGTAAGCTGGAAAGGGACCTTTTAGGTGTAGGGAACTCTCATTTACAAAAACCTAGAATAAGAAAATATCCAGTATGTTTGTGGAAAGTTCCAGTTTAATAAAAGCATAGGCTGTGTGAAAGGTAGTAGGTAGGAGATAAGGTTCTAAATTGGAGAAGGTTTTGATTTCCTGGTTTGAACTTTATTTGATAGGCCATAATAAGTCATTAATGACTTTCAAGTTACAGGGTACAATGATCGTGTCACCTGGATTTGAAAATTATTAATATTTAAAATTGAATAAAGAATATTTCACATTGGTGCTGTCTTTAGGATCAAATAAGGTAGTGCTAAAAGTATGTGGCAAACTTTACTATATAAATGTCACTTATTAAACTAAGTTATTTTTTTAATGTGGTTACAATGATTCCATTTTATTTTTTTTTTCTTTTTTCTTTTGTTTAAGGCAGTTGAGGTTAAGTGACTTGCCCAGGGTCACACAGCTAGTAAGTGTCAAGTGTTTGGTCTGAGGTCGGATTTGAACTCAGGTCCTCCTGACTTCAGGGTTGGTGCTCTATCCACTGTGCCACCTAGCTGAATGACTCCATTTTCTGTAGCACTGAGTGCTTCTCATAAACTTTTTCAATCCAAAAAGGATTTTTGGAGGAGAGACAGACACTAAATTCTGTCTTTGCTACATTTGAAATGCCAATGGGATCTCCAGGTAGAGATTCTGGCAGCAGTTGGTGACGTGAGCCTGGAGCTGAAGGAGGAGATGGGGACTTGTTAGATACATTTGGGAGTTGCCAGTATAGAGATGATAATTAAACCCTGGAAACAGGAGATGATTGAGAGAAAGGATGTGAGAAAGAAGAGGGCTCAGAACAGAACCGGTGAGAAAATCAATGCACAAGTATTTATCAACTATCTGTTATATGCTCGGCATTATTAGGTACCATGGATGATAACTCACAGCTCTGCTTTGCCTCAGTCATCCACATAAGGTCACACTTTGGCTCTTATCACTTATAAATGTGTCACCTTCGTCTATGATTTTGAACTTTGAAATTCCCCTTCCTGGTAATAATCTGTTTTTCCATCTTTTCTTCTAACTCATTCCTCAAAAACCTATGTTTGATCTTCAGTATGACTTCTCATCAGTGTCCAGCATACCATGTAGGTGCTTAATTTTGTTTGTTGATTGATTGATAATGTTTCTCCTGAACTCTGGGCTCACATCTGCTCACATTTAACCACCACCTGCTGGTACCTCTGACTTAACATGTCTGCAACTAAATTAATCATCTTTTCCCCTGAATCCACCTCTCTTCTACTCTTCCCTGTTTCTTTTCAGGGTACTGCTGTCTTTCTAGACATTGGGATTCCTATTGGAGTCTTCTGGACTCTCACACATCCTCTATCAAATCAGTGCTACTTTTACAGTGTTTCACATCAGTCCTCTTTTCTTTACTAGCATGGCCTCCATCCTCATTCAGGGCTCATTCAGGATATTATAACTGACTCCTAATTGGGCCCCTTGCTTCTAGAATTTCAGCTGCCTGATCCAGCCCTCACAAAATATTACCACAAAAATCCACTTTAGGCCTAGATTTGGGCCTTCTGGCTATTTCTCCCAGGTGACCCTCTGTTTTCTTTCTCTTGCTTTTGTGCTGGCTGTCCCATGTCTGGAGTGTTCTCTCTCTCCCTCTCTGCCTCCTGAAGTTCCTGGTTTCCTTCAGTCAACCAATAAACTTTTATTAAGCACTTGCTATGTGCCAGGCACTATGCTAAGTCCTAGAGATCCAAAGAAAAGCCCCTGGAAGCTGATCAGAAAGTGAAAGGGTAAAAAATAGGCAGAAATAGCCAGGGAGCCTGAGAAGGTGGGAGCAGTCAGTCAGGGAGGAGGAAAACCAGGAGAGATCAGAGTCACAGAAGCCCAGAGAGGAGAGATTGTCCAGGGGAGAAGGTGATGTGCAGACAGCCAAGAAGGATGAGGAGTGAGCAGAGGCCCTTAGATGTGACAGTTAAAAGATCACTGGTAACTTTGGAGGGAGCAGTTTCAGTGGAATGAAGTCAGAAGCCAGACTGCAGGGAGTTCAGAAGTGAGCGGGCATGGATGATAACTGCCACACGTGGCAGGATCTCTGAGTAAATATTAGCTAATTTCAGCTGGGCCCTCACGATCCCCAGCGTGGCTTTATGATTTCCTCCTGTTTTGTTAAGGAGTATGTGGTAGAACCAAAGGAAGGAGATGGTGGGTCAGGATTTGGCAAGGAACAGTGGATGATAATATAAGGGAACAAAGGATTCAAAATAGAGGCTAGGCAGGCATTGTGGGTGTGCCTGTAATCCTGGCAGCTAGGCCGAGGCTGGTGGATCACTTAACACTGGAGAGTCTGAGCTTCATTTGCTTAAACCAGTTGGGTGTCAGTCCTAAGTCTGGCACCAATGTTTCAAGCATCTGGAAGCAGGGGCTAATGGGTTACCTAAGGAGAGACATACCAGACCAGGAGCAGGTCAAAGCTCCCAGGCTGGTCAGTAGTGGAATCAGGCCTGTGAATAGCTATTGTGTTTCCAGCCTGAGTAAGATAGGGAGACCAAGTCAAAAGAAAAAAAAGATAGTGTAGTGTTCAGTTGACTCACCAAGGGATCAAAATAGGGAAGAAAGTTTGGTGTAGTCAGTAAGAGGACAGTGGATGGCTGTGGGTCATATTCAGGGATAGAAAGATCTGAGGATGCAGATTAGGTATAGGAGGAGGAGTAAGGCATAGGGAGAGATGGAAAGGTATCATCCAAGAGTGTAGCTGAAGTGTCTTGGAAGAATCGGCCAAGTAGTTGAATAAATTCAGGAACTGAGAAGTTAGCATATTTGAGGGAACTTCAGCACATATGCTGAAGCCCAGGAATGAAGTTAGGCTAGAGATCCTAGAGACATTTGTGAGCTGGGCTGTAATTTCTAAATTCAGAAAGAAGGGAGAATGTTTGGGGACTGATAGACAACAGCTACCAGAATCTGGACTAGGTGACAAATTTAGATTTCATGGACTGCAAAGAAGGAAAGGTTTCTGAGTGTTGACCATATAGGGAGAGTCCATCATGAACAGTGAGTACACAGGGAATGAGTGAAAGTGCTCTAGCACTGGCAGGTATAGCCAGGGAATTGATGTCAGCAGGAGGGCCCAGTACTCAGTGCCAAAAGATGGAAGGAACAAGAGAGGAAGTGGTGTAAGATGAGAGCAAGTTTGTTCATTATAGAGCAAGTGTTTCAGAGGGTCTAGTAGAAGGGGACAGGCAGAAGGGGTTGAGGTGGGTGGGAATAAGGGAATAGCCCGCTGAGATTGAGAGGAGGCTTTTGTACTTGGGTAGTTGGTTCATGGGAAATATGTTCAGACATTGTAACAGTGTGGTCCACTAATGAAGCAAATGACTGAAAGTTTTAAGATTGACCCTATAGGAATCAGGAGTTCTGAACCTTTTTGTGTCAGTGAAAATAAAGTGTGTGTATGTATATATATATATGTGTGTGTGTGTGTGTGTGTGTGTGTGTATATATGTATATATATGTGTGTGTGTATGTATATGTATATATGTATATATATGCGTGTGTGTGTGTATATATATATTATATATGTGTGTGTATGTATGTATATACATATAAATTTTATATTGATGTGTATATGTGTCTGTATATGTATGTGTGTGTATACACACACATATATGTATATATACATATACATACATATATATACACATACATACATATATATGTGTATATATATGTGTGTGTGTGTATATGTGTGTGTGTGTGTGTGTGTGTGTGTGTGTATGTATGTATACATACATATGTATTTGCCTTCCAAGTTCACGGGCCATCTGAAATCTGGCCATGGACTCCAGGTTAAGAACTACCACTTTAGGTTTGGTGCAGTCCTCAACTCCCCAACCTCATGTGTAACTGTGTTCTAAGAGGCCACAGACGTAATCCAGTCTACTCTCTTATTTCATTTCTGGGCTCAGCTCATTGTTCATCTACAGTACCTATCCAGTATGCACATATGAATGCTACCCACTCAATGGCTTTCCCATCCATCTGTATATCATATTCTGTCCAATAAGCATTCTTAAACCACTTAGTTTTTCCTGTACGTACTGTTAAAACTAAAACTCTTTTAAGTGGCCGTGGGTATCATTAAAGAGGTGCTGCGGTTTTCAGATAACAAAGTATTTTGTTCAGTCAACAAAATATTGTCTATAAACAGAAACATTTGCTGTACTGCTCCATTTGTAGGGAATCCTCTTCCATTTAAGCTTTGCTTTTCACATGTGGCAGGTACCTTTGTCAAAGGTTTGATGATTTACTTGATAGTGGTAACAATTATCTCTTTTATTACATCCATCAAGGAATCATGCATGATATTAGTATGTGCGTGAGACAGACACTTTTTGGGGGATGAAAACCTTTAAGGCTTTATTTTGCTTCACCAAATGTCTTTTGAAAAATAAATGCCTTCAGGTGGTGTGACTGTGAAGATGTGTTTTGCTGAAGAAAATTATTTGCAAAAACTTAACAGTTTTGTTTTCAAAAAGGATTTTTTGACTGGGGGTACAGATCATACTCATAAAAATTTTGTATAGGTGAGGAAGTAGATATGTTGGTTATTAGTGATATTCTTTTGATCACATTTTTTTGTAGTAATACCATCTATGTTTTTTTTCTCCCCAGTTTCGGTATCTTGAGAATGGATACCTTCGAGCCCTTGGAATTTTGTTACTTTCTGTACATTTCCTTTGTGAATGTTTTATTTTATTTATTTTATTTATATTATTTTATTAATTGTGAAACTGAATTGGTCCAGTGCTGTTCCCACTTTTGCATCTTTAGGGCTATTTATAATTCCTCATGTAGCATTTCAGAGGCTGAGATGTGCCCAGATCTGAAGCTCTCTTTTCAGCAGTGAAGAAAATGGCATGACATTTCATAGAAAAGCTAAAATATCTGTTTCATTTTCTGTTGTCTTTTGTCCTCCTCCCAGTTTCATCTTTATATGCTCTTGGGATCTGACTTAATTGGGTCTCATACCAAACTTTCTCCAAACTTGAATTTGTCCTCTCACTGCTAGCAGCCTATATGTAGAAGATACATAGCAGGCTAGATAGAGTACTTATTTGGTGCTTTCTATTAAGTACAGACGTTGTGCTTAATTAATGTTTGTTGAATAGACATGGGTGCTTAATAAATGTTTGATGAATAGTCAGATGCTTAACATGTTTTATTGAATGAAATCCTTAGATAGTTAGATAACTGTTAAACTCTCATTGTTGATTTTCCTTTTACTGGTACAGATTGCAATCACTTGATGTCATCTTATCCCGTGTAATTCTTGGACTTGTTTTTTCTTTAAATCCTTCCTAGAGAATACACTTGATGTGGAAGAAGTCTTTTTCTAGTCCTTTTTCTCATATCTTATGTGTCCACCAAACTGTGAGGACCATAGAAGGATTATTAATCAACAAGCATTTATAAAGTGCCTACCTACTGTGTGCAAGGCACTGTGCTAAGCACTTAGGATACAAAGACAAAGAAGAAACAATAGTCTCTCGTTCTTAAGTTTTCAAGAAACTTCCCTATCACTTGGGGAGACAAGACTAATACTTGAAGCAATGAGAAGATATTAAAGATTTCATGTAATTAAGTTTCAGTTTTTGGGTTTTTTGTTTGTTTGTTTTTTGGTTAAGAAAATAAGTGACTCTAGAGAAAGGACAATTGAATGAGAAGTAGAATAATCAAGGATGACTTTAATACACAAGATTTGAGCTGAACCTTAGTGGACAGGAATAATTAGGAGGTGCAGACCAGAATGCTTTTCTGTCATCAGAGGAAGTAACATGAGTGAAGTTTTGGACGTGGTGAAGAATGGTGTGTTTTGGAGGACAGTCTTATTTGTGTTGGGCAATATTGCAAATGAGATTAGCAATTTCGGTTTAGTAAGATTAGTTACATCATAGAGGACCTTGAAAACCACATGTAAGTATTTAGACTTGTAGTCTAAACAGAATTGTAGAGAACATTCAAAATTCTTTAAGGACAGTGACATGATGGAGGTTGTTTTGGGGGGAAATTAGTTTGACTGTAGTAAATAAGATGGATTGGAAGAGATAGAGATTGGAGGTCAGAACATCCTGGATGAGGGCAGTGGCCATGATTAAGAGTTTAGTTTTATTCATAGAATCATATACTTAAATATTCCTTAGATCTTATGTATATTAACACCCAAACTTCTACATATGAGGAAACTAATAGCCAAATAGGTTGTGACTTGTCAGGCTTATACAGTAGCAGAGTCGCGGGTAAAACCCAGGCTTCCTATCTCCTAATCTGCTCTTTTATTCTGCTCTCTTGTTTACCTTTGAAGTGACAGTAGCAGGAACTAAACAGAACCATCTAAGCGGCAGCTACAAATCCAAAATCTTAGAACTGGAAAGATTTTCTGTCTTACTCAGTGCAGGAATCCTTTCTTATCCATGACAGATGGTCATCCAACCTGAATTCCAGTTCTGGGGAAGATGGTGGGAATAGATTAACTGAGAGGATTTGTGGAGGTATTTACTGAGGGTGACTACTGTGCATTGTAAGTGTCCTTAGGACAAGAGTGAGGAAGAAATGCTAGCAGAGGAGATTGAGAAGACTTGATAAGAAACCTTGCTTTATTTTTACCTTTAGAACCATTTGTTCTGGCTTCAGAATACGAGCCCTGCCTCTGAACGAGTGAGTGCAATAATTTGGGAAGGTAATGAATGCAAAAAAATGGATATGTCTGTTTTGGAAATCAGTGGCATCATCATGAGTAGGGTAAGTTTTTTTGCGTGTGTTTTTTAAATCTTGAAACAGTTCTCACACATTCCACATTGTGGGCACCATTTGCTGTTTTGAAAGAATTCTGTATCTAGTGTAGAGAAATTAAATTTTCCAAATTCTTATATTTTATTGTTTTTCCCATACTGTGGGGTCTGGAAGGAAGAGGTATCTCTTTTTGTGTCCTTCCCCTCCCCCTAGTCCCTTGGGGGAAGTCTGACATGTGTCACTAACAAGGAGAAGGGCAGAAGAGGCTTCTCCTTCCAGGGGAGGGATACTGGTGTTTGCCTATATCTTATTCCTTGTTTGTTGTATATGGACAACCATTGCTATTATTCCTTATGTATATTTATTGTCATATTTAAGCCTAATCTTTAATGAGAAAGGTTTAAGAATCTTAAATCAATAGATTTATTCCAGCACTTCCCAAATTGTGGTCCTTGGGTCCCTAGTGTTCTGTATGAAGTGAATAAGTTATGTGATAATTTTGATATTAATGATATTTTTCCTTCTGAGATGTTAAATATTAAATTTCTTATAAAAATGCTTCCCTTGCTGAAGTCCATTTACTTGATAGTGGCTTGGGGTGACTAGGTTCTTGAAGGCTACTTTAGCAGAATATAAGCTCTGGTTGTTTTTTTTTTTTTAGGATAGAAAATCTTCAAATATAGATCCCCCCCCCAACCATAGATTTTATATCTGTTATCCAAGGACCAATTTAGCTATGTATAGGAAGGTCTATAGAAAGAAAATTGGCCCCCAAGTGTTGAAATGTAATTTTGGTCAGACTAAAACATGGAAGTATTGTGATCTGTGTCAGTGGAGGGAGTAAGTATTAAAATTACAGGGTGGTGTTTTTTTTTTCTTTGTTCTTTTTTTTATCTAAAAAAATTGGCATAGTTTCTTCAATTTTGTGTCAAAATTTCCCCAACTCTCTCTTTCCCTGTATTTTATGCTCCCAAATCCAGTGCTAATTGTTCATGGATTTCATCAGTACCTTATTAGATTTGGATTGAGATTGGGCCTGTGATTTCATTACTGTAGAGAATGTGTAGTGTAGAGTGAGATAACTCTCTCTGATAAAGAAAATCCCCGCAACTTCAAAAGCTTCGAAGGAATCTTGAGGCCCCAGAGCACCTGGTGGTGGCCTGTCTTGCTCAGAATGTATCAGGGGTGGGACTTGGTCCCACATCTTCCTGTGCCAAGGCAGAGCTTATGTACCGGTCTGCCTCTCTGAATTTCAGTATGAGCTGATAGAAGAACTTTTTGAAAGGGGGATAATATATCAAAAATAAGCTGTGCTTAGGTTTAATGCATCCTAAATTTGGTGAGAAAAAAGAACTATAAAATATAAACTCCTACAGCTAAGGCCTTCAGCAGCTGGACTTGTACATATGCTTCTAGCCTTATTTCTTACTCATCCCCTTCATGAAGTCTGCATTCCAGCCAAACTACACTACTAGCTATTATGGAACTCATCTCCTACCTCTGTGTATTTACAGGAATTTTCCCCTGTGCTTGGAATAGGCTTCCTTATTTCCAGTTCTCAGGATCCTTGACTACTTCATGGATAAGTTTGGTGAAGCAGTCACTGATTTCCCTAGTTAATTCTCTTTCCCTCAATTTACCTTAAATTATGCTTCTCTATTTGTCTATCCCCACATTAGAATATAAGCTCCCTGAGGACAGGAATTGTTTCCTTTTTCCCTTTATATCCCTAACACATAGTGTATAAATGCTTAATAAATATTTTGTCAAATTCCCAGCATCAACCAAAAAAAGACTGATAAAGTGTATATGAAACCTCACAATCTTCCATGAACAGATCCACTTATGGAAAGCAGGGCTAATACATTTTTTCAAAAATAATTTTTTATAAATATGACCTTTGTAAATCCTTCCTTATTTAATGGTAATTTTTCATTAATCTCTAGGTTAATGCATATCAGCAGGGCGTAGGTTACCAGATGCTGGGAAATATTGTAACTGCTGGGTTAGCATTTTTCCCATTCTTATACCGACTCTTCCACGAGAAGAACCTGGACCAAATGCGATCTGTCTCGACTGAGGAGCTCCTGACTCTCTTTTGTGGGGCACCACCTTCGTTTTCAGTCGTCGTTTTTGCCATGATCAATTTTCTTGAGCGCTTGTGTCTCACCTGGATGTTTTTTTTTATGATGTGTGTGGCAGAAAGAACGTACAAGCAGGTCAGTGGGAGGATCAATGAATCTTCCTTCTTTCTATTGCAGTGGGACCACTCTCTTCATTTTTCTGCTATACAAAAGATAATGTCTTTGAAATAACATAATTATTATGTGTAACCCATGTGTGTGTAGTTATTTAAGAATATGAATAGCAACAAAGGGATTTCGGCTATGAATCTGAAAAATAACTTAGATTTTTAACATCAGTCATTTTATTTTCAGTGTATTCAGTGATGTGTGTACCTTTTCAGCTGCATAAATCAAGTTCTTCCTGGACATGGAAAAAATAATGTTTCTCTCACAGTATCACATGAATCCCAAGACATTTTTAAAAAATGGGAGAGTTTCTTTCATTATATCATTATACAGCTTAGTTCTTAACATTTTCTTGGTGAAGTTCTGGAAAATTTTAATTGGAAATGGACTTATCAGGTATCTTTAAAATCAACTAGAGGAATAGGAGATAATTTTCTGTCCGTGACTTTTCTTAGAGTAAGATTTTTGTGGATCAGAAAAAAATTTAGAAACCTATTCTGCACCTATTGAACTGGGCTTCTCAACTTCACAATAGTGAATGTTCTGTACTTAGCTAATGTCTTTTTTCTGAATACTTTCTTTAGCATCCTGAGGCATAGAACTAGTTCTCTATATATTAGATCGTGGAGGAGAAGGAGATTAAATAACTCTATAAGTGATAACATGAGCTTGATGGTGGCAAATTTGTTTTTAAGTCAAGTAGAGCGAGCACTTAGAGCTGTCCTGCTGGGGCTGCTGCTTGTTTGGGGCAGATAGGGGGTCAGTCCTCCCTCTCATCTCTGTTGAGAAGTGGGAGAGGTTTTCATTTGATCACTTTTGTCTTTCTCTCTCTTCAGTTTTGAATACTAAATTAATTTTGTTGGTTTTTTTTTTGACTTAACAGATACTTTATAACAAACACCTAATCAGCTCTCCCCCTACCAAATACATAATCCCAAAACAATTAGGCAAAACCACCTAATAAGAGTGATTGCAGTTAGTTGTATATATCAGTTTGAATTTGTTTTGCAAAGCTAATTTAATTTAAAGAACTTCCATTATGGATATGTTTTGCTTGACTACACATATATAACCTATATCAAATTGCTTGCCTTCTCAATGTGGAGGGGTAGGGAGGTAGAAGGGAGAGAATTTGGAACTCAGAGTTTCAAAAATGAATGTTAAAAATTGTTTTTATGTGTAACTGGGGAAAAATAAAATAAAAATAAAAGAAAAAAAAACAGAAAAAAAAGAAATTTAGTCATCTATTATAGTGTACCCTGAGTAAAATTTCATGCTGTTTCTTTTTTTTTCCCAGGGGGAATTGGTGGTAACAGAGGTTGACAGATGTTTACATTATTTCTCTTTGTATGTTTTTCTTTTCCCTAGCGATTTTTATTTGCAAAACTCTTTAGTCATATTACCTCTGCCAGGAAAGCTAGAAAATATGAAATCCCCCATTTCAGGCTCAAAAAGGTGGAGAACATTAAGATATGGCTATCACTGCGTTCTTATTTAAAGGTAAATTTTATCTTAACATTATATGGAGAGACTTAGAATTTACATAGAGAGACATTGCAGTAGTTTACCATCAACCTGTAATTTGGTACATTACATGTATTTATTTTTTTGGAGGCAGCTTTATGTACTGGAATGAATATTGGTTTTAGAGGCAGAAGACCTGAGTTTTAGTCCTAGCTCTTCCACTTACTTCCTATTCTCCCTTGAATAAGCTTCTTAATCTCTCTGAGAATCAGTTTCCTAATCTATAAAATGAGGGAGTCAGACTAGATAATCTTTAAGGTCCCATCTAGCCCTAAATCTATGATCCCACCCTCTTTTATGCCTCAATTTCCTTATCTCTGAAATGGGGATAATAAAATTTGGTTATCCACTATACAGGTGGTTGTGATGAAAGTGTTTTGTAGACTTTAAAGAACTACATCAATATTTATTATCATAAATGCTTGCACACTATTACTGGATTCCAGCAAGGAAGGGACGTTCATAGCTGACAAGAATAAAGCTTGTAGATAGGTGCTGTTACCCACCTATAGGAATTTACCTTTAAAGATGAATTTAGATAAGAAAGAAGAAAAGCAAATTTCTTGGAGTTGGAGTAGTATATTATAATAGTGCTATGATTTTCCCTTGCTTCTGGGACACACTTGAATATACATGTATCTCATTGGGTAAATTACTGCCTTATTTAGAAAGGGGACAGATTTTAGAAGTATTAAGATCTGTCTCCCTTCTAAACAAAATAGTAACTTTGAATTGGGGGTTTGGAGATTTTTTTTTTAAACTTCAGCTCCTATACCATTAACTTCCTATGTTTAAAAACCTTTAGCTTTTTAAAACAAAAATGTATAAAAGTTTGAAATGTTAATTGCTTTTTTAGGTCATGAAGTTGCTAGATTACTGCCATTAGTTTTTTGTAACATCTAGAATTAAATATTTTAAGCTTTCCAGTCTGATACATTTAGTATATCATATCTCATTTTACAGAGACGGGGTCCACAGCGCTCAGTTGATGTGGTTGTTTCTTCAGTGTTCTTACTTACACTTTCAATTGCTTTTATTTGCTGTGCCCAGGTAAGAATTTCATAGAAGAAATGAAAATGCTATTGTATGTTGTCTGTTGTTTAAAATTCAAAGTTTGTCTTCTGTATCTTAGCTGGTTTCATTTTAAGGTATGTTACATTTGAAAAGTGTCTGTGAATTTGTTAACTGTTTTTGAATCCTTTGTAATCTGAAATTAAGAATTTTGGGGTCTAATGTTTATCCATTGTGATGTCGTGGATAGGAGGGCCTTGCAGTCAAGAAGACTTGGCTTCTAGTCCAGCCTTTGACTTACACTAGCTCTGTGATCCTGGGCAAGTCACTTAACTTCTTAGTACCCCAGGCACCTCTCTAGATGATAAGTTGTAAGCCAGTCGCCGATCTGCATTGGTAGAGGGAATTTCCTCACTGGCAGTTGTTGCATCAGTGAAAATATGAGTCCTAATCAAGAAAATTATTAAAGGGACGGTTAGTAGAACATCTAGAAAAGGCAGTGGGAATCACAGAGACACTATGCCTTCATCAAAAACATATGTAATGCCAGGCTAACCTCATTTCCTTTTTTGACAGGGTTACTATATTGGTAGATCGGGGAATGTCATAGAATGTCAGTCAACAAGTGCCTTTTATTTTATTAAGTGCCTCTTATATGCCAGGCATTGTGCTAAGCTCTGAGAATGCAAAGAAAGGCAAAAGACAGTCCTTGCCCTCAAGGAGCTCATGGTTTAATGGACATAAATATAGCTATCGACATTTTAACAAAGCATATGAGGTAGTCATGTTATTCTTATATGATCTCTTACCTGCCAAATCTAATGGCCTTTCTCCTCCTCTTTGACCTTTCTGTAGCATTTAAAGTTGCTGATCACCTGCTCCTCCATACTTTCTCCTCTCTAGGTTTTCATGACCCTGCCCTGTCTTGGTTCTTCACCTACCTGGGATCACATTTCATTTTCCTTTGCTGAATCTTCATCCTTGTCAGTCAGTCACTCAATAAATATTTATTAAGCATCTACTATGTGCAAGGCACTCTGCTAAGTCCTTATCATACCCACTAACCACGGTGGTTACCTCTAACCACAAGTGCCCCACAAGGCTCTGTCCTCGGCCCTCTTCTCATCTCCTTAGATATCTCTCTTAGTGATCTTATCAGCTCCGTTAGATTCAGTTACCATTTCTATGCAGATGGCTTCCAGATGTGTGTGTGTGTGTGTATGTGTGTGTGTATAATATATAATATATGTCCAGTCCTAGTCAATCTTCTGAGCTAGTCCCACATCTCAAATTTAACATGTCCAAAACAACTTATTATCTTTCTTCCCAAATCTACCCCTCTTTCCAGCTTCCCTTTACTGTCAAGGGCATCATTATCCTCCCATTTACCTAGGCTTAGAGTGTTGGAATCATCCCTACCTCCTCCTCACTCATCCTCTACATCCAGTCCATTGCAAATCTGGTCATTTCTACCTTCTCAGTTTGTCTCAAACATCTCCTCTCAGCTCCCACACCTGCCCTTCTAGTCCAGGCCTCCCTTCCCTCTCACTGGGACTATTTCAGTAGCCACCTGGTCTCCCAGCCTCAAGCCTCTGCCCACTCTAATCCATCATCCACTCAGCTGTCAAAGTGATTGTCCTAAAACACAGGCCCGACCACCTCACCCTCTGCTCAGAAACTTTTCTGAGGAGAAAGGAACCTTCCAGAGAGTGCAGTGAGCATATGAAAACCTTGTCATTTTTGAGTGTTGACTCTTCTGCTTTGCATGGTTCTGTTCACTTGTCCTTCGCATGATTGTGATAGTACCAGTGGGGAACAGATTAATATGAAGACTGAGGTGACTCTTCTGAACTGCTGTGATTGTAACATCTGTGTGTGTCTCATTTCTGTAGGTTCTCCAAGGCCATAAAACCTTTCTGGATGATGCTTATAATTGGGAGTTCCTGATTTGGGAAACAGCCCTGCTGCTCTTCTTATTACGTCTGGCCTCACTGGGATCTGAAACCAATAAGAAATACAGTAATATTTCAGTACTGCTCACGGAGCAGGTAACACATGTGTACTTGACTCATCTGGCTTATGGTCTGTGCTGTCTTTTGGGGGTGATACTGCTGCTTCTAATCTCATTCAATTCAGCAAACATTTGTTAAGCACCTACTATGTACTAGGCCCTGGGCAGACAGACACAAAAACACAGCAAGAAGAATATGTTCCGGGGCAGCTAGGTGGTGCAGTGGATAGAGCACTGGCCCTGAAGTCAGGAGGACCTGAGTTCAAATCTGCCCTCAGACCAAACACTTGACACTTACTAGCTGTGTGACCCTGGGCAAATCACTTGAACCCAATTGCCTAAAAAAAAAGAAAAAAGAAAAAAAGAAAAGAAAAAAAATATGTTCCTCACAGAGCCTACATTCTGTTAGAGGGATTCAGCATATACTCAGGTAAGTTCCTCAAACATGAGGAAAAGGGAGGTGAGAGAGAGTGCTAACTTTTTTGGGGGAAATGGGTATGAGATTCTAAAGAGATTTTGTGGAGGAGCTAAACCCTGAGAGGCAGAGATTTCAGGCATGAAATGTGTGAATCTGTAGAGATGGCATAGAAAGTTACCAAGTTCAGAAGATAGCTTGTTGTCCAATTTGGCTGAAACACAGATGCACAAAGGCAAGTAGTGTTAGATAAGACTGGACAGGTAAGTGGAGAGGGCTGTGGAGGGCCTTCGATTCCAAGTCAAGGAATTTGGAATTTTATCACATAGACAGGGAATGGCACTGAAGGTTTTTGGGCACAGTTAGACACGGGTAGCTGTGTGAAGGGCTGGATAGGAGAGGGGACAGACTTGAAACGGGGACCTATTGAGAGGCTCTTACAGTGGTCTAGGCAAGAGATGAGGAGGGCCTGAATCATGAGTGTGTGGCTGAGAATGGAGAGAAGGGGATGGAACATGAGAGATGTAGTGGAGAGGGGAGCAGCAAGATGGGGTTTTAGAGGAGAAGGAAGAGTCAGATGACTCTGAGGTTACAAAATTGGGTGCCTGGAGGGAATGGTGGGGAGTGGGAAGGATAAGCAGGTTTTCATGGAACATAATGAGTTTGAGATGCCTCCTGGACGTCCCAGGGAGAGATGTCCAGGGAGCTCAAGAGAGCGATGAGGGCTGGCTATATCAATCAGGAGTTATTTGCACAAAGGTGTTACTTGCACCCAATGAGAACTTTAAGAAAAAGTGTATATAGAGAGAAAGGAAGAGGTCCCAGGGCACACTTGTGCTAAGGGTACAGGAGAAAGATGATCATCCAGCACACCAGAGAAAGAGGCCGGTCAGGCAGGAGGAGAAGCCAGAGAAGCATTGTCATTGAAGCCCTGGTGGGGAGGAGGAGAGAGGTAGTTAGGAAGCACCAAAAGCTGCAGCAAAGATGAAGGAGAAAGGGTTGTTAGATTTAGCTGTTAGGAGATCAGTTCTGACTTTGGAGGGAGCGCTTCACTGGAGTAGTGAAGTCAGAAGCCAAAATGCAGGTGACTGAGGTGGAAGGGGGAGTACGAAAATAGTGGTTGTAGACCTTCGTACCAGGAGCTGAGCAGTGGTCAAGGGAGTTGTGTAAATGTGCATCAAAAATGGTTCTTGAATTTCTTAGAAGTCATTCCTAATGTTATACAGGAAGAAATATAGTGACCAGTACAACCTGGAAGTAATATAGAATACACAGTGTGAATAAATGTAACATGTTAAGTGAAAATTTAAGGAAATTGTCAAGTATCAATGTCCAGCACTTAGCATAGTGCCTGGCACACTTTTGGAGTTGTTGTTTAGTCGTTTCAGTGTTTTGGGAGTTTTCTTGGCAAAGATACTGGAGTGGTTTGCCATTTCCTTCTCCAGCTTATTTGACAGATGGAGAACCTGAGGCAAATAGAGTGAAGTGACTTGCCCAGGGTCACACAGCTACAAAGTGTCTGAGACCAGATTTGAATTCAGGTTTTCTGGACTCCAGGCCTGGCACTCTATCCACTGTGCCACCTACCTGCCACATAGTAGGTCCTTAATAAATGTTTATTGATTGATTGGTTGTATGGAGAAGGCTTTTTTGTTTTTTTAAGTTAAAGTTACCTGTTTAGGATTAAATTAAAATCTATAGCGTAACTAGATTGAATTTTATGAATGAGGGGTTTAGTATGTTCCTATAGGTTAAGTAATATAAATATGGCTTTGTTCAGTACCCGGAATAACAACACACAAATATGATTTTTATTATTAACATAAGTGTAATTATTATTCTGTTAATAAACTTTGTTATTAATGATATAGTTTCATTGATAAATAAAAAATACACTTTTTCTCTCAGGTAGCTTCCCTTCCTAAAGGCAGAATTTATTCCCTGGGATGGGAATTAGTTATGTAACTTAGTAGTTCTATAGAAATTGCTTATGAGCATTTTTTTCACTACAGATGTTTTCAGAGAACCTGCCAGTGTTTTTAATGGGTATCATTTTATTATGATATTTATCCAGTTACTTATTCATTCCCTAGATTAACTTATATCTCAAAATGGAAAAGAAGCCAAATAAAAAAGAACAGCTCACTCTGGTGAACAACGTGCTAAAACTGTCGACCAAGTTACTAAAAGTGAGTGTTGCCTGCCAATGTCTCTGTTACCATCATTAAAATCAGTGCATTTGTCCTAGGCAAGGAGTCCAGAGTGTTAGTTTGTGAACTTGATAGGATGCCTACTGCCCATGAGTCCTGAAAATTTGGGGAGGAAGCATTCTATGTCTTGTCATCTCCGAGCCAATATTTTGTTGCAAATTGAGGGGCATGGGCTTTGTTACTGCTGTTTTTTTGCAGAAAATTTTCACCCCAGAAGCAGAGAGAGGAAGGCCATCCTTAGAGGTGCGTGGGAGGAATAAGTGAGAAAGAGCCTGAGGGGAAAAGGGAAGAAGCTCCCTCTGTGGAATATCTGATAACTTTCAGTCCAGCCCAGCGCAGATTGATTAAGCACCTACTCTGTGCAGGCACTGGCCCTTTTTTTCCTCCCCTAGAACTTTCCTTAACTCTTTGGTCTCTTCCCCTCCTAGCCTCCTGTCATGTTTCTTTCCTCTCTTAAAATGTGAACTCCTTGAAGGTGGGAATCGTTTTTCTTTTTGCTTATATTTGTATCCCCAGCATTTATCACAGTGCTTGATGCAATGAAGACTTAATAAATGTCTGTTTCCCCCTTTCTAGCCACAAGACAAAACCATTCCTGTTCTCAAAGAGCTTAAATTGTACCAGAGGATATGACTTTTTATTTTTGTTTTTGGGTTTGTTTTTTTTTTTTTTGGCTAAGCAATAGGGTTAAGTGACTTGCCCCAGGGTCACACAGCTAGTAAGTGTCAGGTGTTTGGTCTAAGGTCAGATTTGAACTCAGGTCCTCCTGCATCCAGGGCTGGTGCTCTATCCACTATGCCACCTTGCTACCCCCCAGATATGACTTTTTAAAAGTTAATGGTTGGCAGAGTAGTAGCATGAAGAAATATAGGGAAATCGTCCCCAGCTAAATTCCTCCAGACTGATCTAAAAAGTGCTCTAGACTGAATCCTGATAGGGAAATCAAAGAAAAAGTCACAATGAGGCATTTTTCTAGCCCAGCTAAGTATAGGAGGACTTAGAAGTTTGTAGACCCTGAAAATGGCACCTGACCAAGAGTGTGCCTTGCCGAGCTTTGTACTGAAGCAGGACAAGGTCCCAGACCCACATCCAGGCACCCAGCCTTGTGCAGCTTTGTCACTCACTACCAAGTTCTGAGGGCAACAGAGGAGGACTCTTGTTCCTAGGTTTAGCATTCCAAGAGAAGGCATAGTTGCAGGCCCTGGGCAGTGTACTGAAAAGAGAACAAGTTGAGAAGCAGCCAGAAGCAGGGTGGGGTCTCAGGTAAAACCTAAGGCCTAGTCTGAAGACTGCAGATGAATGACTAGGGCGGGGTTCTCAGACCAAAGGGATACATACAGTTCTGTCCCCCTGAACCAGCAGAACTTCCCAGATTGCTAATGAGTCTGAGTCCAAAAGAAGTCTAATGTTGCTCAGACCCAAACCCAGGTCAGAACTCAATCCAGGATGGGGCAGCAATTTTGTCCTGTATCATACCACTTTGAGAGAACTGAAAGCTTGCTGGTCCCCAGCCTGAGCTGTCCCTGAAAACCTGGGACACACTTAATGTATTAATAAAGCATCAAAGTAACTAACCCAGCCCTTCCCTCCAGACATGTGCAGAGCCTGGCCCTGATATCAAGTCTGAAGTCAGAAGTAGGCTGGAAGAATGGGCAAACAAAAAAAAGCATCCCAGCATAAAAAAGCAATTATGGTAATGGATGCTCAAGACAAAAACAAAACAAAACACAGAAAAAGAGAATGACTCTGAGATATTCACAAGCAAAGCCTCAAAGGAAAACACAGATTAGGCACAAATTCAACTGAAATTCTTGGAAGAGATGAAGCCAGCCTTAAAAAAAGAGCTTAAAATGTTTATATAAATGGAATGAGAGTGCTTGAGGAAAAAATTAAAAAAGAAATCGGAACTGGGAAAGAAGAAATTGAAAAGGGAATTAACAGTTTGTCATAAGAAATTCAAAATCTTGTGAAGCCGCATACTCTCTGAAAGTTAGACTAGAACATATAGAAGCCAATTAACTACATGAGACGAAACGTATTAAAATGAAATCAAAAGACTGAAGGTGTAAGGTAATCTCATAGCAAAAACAACTGATGTGGAAAACAAACGAAGGAGAAAAAAATTAAGAATCATTGGACTCTCTGAGAGCCATGACCAAAAAAAGAGTCCGACATACTTCAAGAGATATTAAAGCTTTCTAGATCTCTTAGAACCAGAGAGCAATGTAGAACTACAAATAATCCACTAGTTACTCCTGAAAGAAATCCCAAGGTAGAAACTCCCAGGAACATTATGTGTAGCCAGAGTCCAGAGCTTCCATGTGAAAGAAAAAGTATTGCAAGTAGCCAGAAGTAAGAATTCACATACTGAGGAGCCACCTCTATGAAGAGGTGGAGAGCATGGTATAGGACACTCCACAAGGCAAAGGATATGAGTTTACAGCCAAGAATAACTTGCCCAGCAAGATTAAGTATAATCCTACTGGGGAAAAATGGACTTTTAATGAAAGAGAACATTCTGATGAAAAAACCAGAGCTATGGAGAAACAAACATGAGAGTGAAGAGAAACAATCATAAAGCACTAAGCAGGGCTAAACTGCTGACGTTCTCCTATGGGAGGATGACAAACGTGTCCCCTCTAAACTCCATTCGTAATCAAGGGCCATAGAGGGGAGTTGAGTCAGAAGGCCTGGGAGTGGTTCTTTTATGTCTGGATGAAGAATGCGCTGGAAGGGAAAGTATCTCACATGACTAGGGTGCACGAGCAGAGGTCTTTATAGACAATAAGGAAGGGGTAGGAGAGCAGCTCTTTGAATCTTATTTTCATCTGAATTGGTCAAAGGAGGGAAGAAAACACATACACAGTTGGACACAGGAATACATTTCATTGAACAGGGAAATAGGAGAAGGGATAGAGAAGAAAAGAGGAGGAAATTAAAAGGAGGGTAGATGAAGGGAGAGATTTGTTCTAAGCAAAACAAAGTATAAGAATGTACAGAGATATTTATAGCTTTTTAAGTTGCAAAGAATGGGAATTTGGGATATACCTATCAATTGTGCAATGGCTGAACAAGTTATGGTATATTAATGCGATGGAATAATGTGCTGTAAGACATGATGAAGGAGATGGTTTCAGAGAAACCTGGGAAGATTTGTACGAACTAATGCAGGGTGAAGTGAACAGAACCAGGAGAGTCATTTTAGGAACTCTGATTGGCATATTGACCAACCATGATTTCAGAGAACTAATAAATGTTGAAACATACTACTCACTTCCTGAGAGGCAAAAGACTCAGTGAAAATGATATGTGTGCATATACATATACATGCATGCATATGCACGTACATGTGTATGCTGTACATATATACATGTATATTATGTCATATACATATGGTGTGTGTATATATATAATTTGCTTGACTTTTACACTTTGCAACAGGGGTTTTGTTTTTCTTTCATTGTCAGTTAAGGAGGGTGGGAAGTAGGGGACAAAAGAGTTTTGCCTAATTGAAAAAAAAAATTTTTAATTTAGTTTTAAAAGTTAATTGTTTATTGGTATCTGGCATTTTACATCACTTTTAATTTCCCAGTATATCCCTTCTTATCCTCCACCAAGAGAGCAATCCTTTATAATAAAGAATAAAAATAAAAGAGGAAGAAAGCAGATCAGGACATCAGGTTTCCCAGCATGGGTCTTATTCTGCATCCATCATCCCCTTCTCCCCTTATTCTTCCCTTTGCAAAGGAGGGAAGGAGGTACTGATTTGATTTCCAGAATGGTTGAAACAGTCGATAGACTGCACTATTAATGCATTAGTGTACAAGTCTCTTTCCACAGACTCTCCAGCATTAACAGTTCCCCTCTCTGTTAATTTTTTAAGTGTAGAGTGAAATCTCAAAATTGTTTTGATTTGCATTTCTCCTAATAGTGACTTAGGACAGTCTTTCACAAGGTTCTTCTTTTGAGAACTTTTGAGAACTATTTGTTCCCACAGGGGATTGGTTTTTGGTCTTATATATATATATTATATATATTTTTTATGTATTTTTGTTAATTGTCTATATATCTTGGGCATCAGACCCTTATTGGAGATATTTGATACATATTGTTCTCCCCTCCCATTTGACTGCTTCCTTTGTCATCCTAGTTGCATTGATTTTGTTAGTGCATAAGCTTTTCAGTTTTATGTAATCGAAGTCATGTTTTATCATTTATCATTGCCTCTCCTGTTTGGTTAAGAATTCTCCTTGTAACCATAGTTGTAAAAAGTACCTAATCTGGTTCTCTTGTAATTTTTTTATGGCATGACCTAATTTAATATTCAGTTTACATATCCATTTTGAAATTATTGATAATATGGTTTAAGATATTATACTAAGCCTAATTTCTTCCAAATGAGTTTTAGTTTTCTCAGCAGTTCTTATCAAATAGGGAGTTCTTCTGGAAGGAATTTATGTTCTTGGGTTTATTGAACATTAAATTGAGTTCACTTGATGCAGATTTATCCTTATCTCTTGTGTTCAACTGTACAACCTTTATATTTTAACTAGCACTAAGCAGTTTGGATGATTGCTTCTTTACAGTATAATTTGAAGTCTGGCAATGCTATTCTCACTTTATTCCTACTTCTTTCCATTATTTCTCTTGAGAATTTAGAACTGTTATGCCTGCAAATGAATTTTGTTATCTTGTCTAGCTCTACAAAGGGATACAACATTTAACTATATAAATACAATAGTATTTGAGGAGAGAGAGAACACTAATAAATAGGGAAGGAAGCTAAGGATCCTACAAGGCAGAGGGGAAGGCGGAAGGCGGAAGGCGGAAGGCAGAAGGTGGAAGGCATTGCCAGGTCTGAGAGATGAGTTATGCAAAGACGCAAAGGTGGAAGATAGGGAGCCAGTTTGGCTGGAATGTAGACTGGTCGTTAAGTCTAGCAGGAAAACTGGAGTGAGCCTAGGAATCAGCTTTAAATGCTAAACTGAAGAATGTGTATTAGTAGTGAGCCACAGAAAGTTATTATGCTGGGGAGTGAGATGGACAGTGCTTTGGGAAGCTTGTTTTAGCAGCTGTGTGGGGAATATGGTTTGGGGAGAAGATTGGAAGCCAGGAGGCCAATTTGGAAGCTGCCTTAATAGATGGAGAGGTGATGAGGGCCTGAGCAAGTGTGGTGACTTAGTGAGTAAAGAGGAGACAGATGTGATAGATGCCATGAAGGGAGGATTGATAAGAATTGACAACTGATTTGATAGAGGGTTTGAGGAAAAGAAGACTTCCAGGATGATGCTGAGGTTGCAACCATGGGTGCCTGAAGGATAGCAGTAGCCTTGACAGAAACGGAACATTGGGAAGGGTAAGGGAATAATGAGCACTGTTTTGGATATGTTCAGTCTGAGAGGCCCATGGAACACCCTGCTGGAGATATCCAGACAGTTGGACATGAGGACATATTTAAACAGGTAATTCAGGACTTCAGAATATAAGAAGGATTAAGCATGAATGCATAAATATAGGAGTCATTTATATACAGATGATAATTAAAGACATGGGAACTGAGGAAGTCACTGAGAAGAGGGTATTAAGGCAGAAGAGACCAGGGTCCAGGACAGAACTTTGAGGGCTATCCATGCTGGGAGGCCATGGATGATAACTGAGCAAAGGGGACAGAGGAGGAGAACCAGGAGGGAGCAGTGTTGCCAAAATCCAGGGAGGGAAGGCTTTTCCAGGAGGGAAAGGGTATTTATTAGTGTGAGAAGCTGCAGAGAGGTCAAGAAAGAAGAAAATTGAGGAAAAGCTGTTAAAATTAACATTGAAGGTCCTTGATAACTTTGGAGAGAGCAGTTTCAGTTGAGTGGTGAAGTCTAAAACCACCATACTTCAGTCCTTGTCTACATACAAGCCCCTCTGCCCCTTTAAGATTGAAAATGGGTGAATCTGAACTTTACATGTTGGGAGTGAGAGATATGAGGACATGAGAAAAAAAGAGTGATAGATGAAGGTCAGAACTCAACTCTTCTTCCTCATCTCAGAGAGGCCCAGTGGCATGGGAAGGCGCTTGGCTTAAGTCAGGCATAATTATGTTATTTTTCTGTGGGTATTCTCATCTCTCCCTCCCCTCCCCTCCCCCCCTCCATTTCAGACCTTCTCTTTGCCCCAAAGAGAAGTCCCTAACTGGACCAAGGTCCTGTTTGGGCATGGCAGGCATTTTTGCTGGGAGAAAGGTCAGTGCCATGTGTTCTCCTCTTCCCTCTTCCCTGTTCCCTCCACCCAAGTAGTCAGCTCAGTTCCGAGAGGTAGGGTTGAAGATTAGAGCAGCCTACAGTATGTCTTTCCCTCCCCCAAGCGCTTGTGAGAGCGATTTAAACTGTTGAATGAAGGCCACCTGCTGAGGGAAGACAGTTGATTCTCCTAGACCAAGAGTCCTTAACATGCTTTGTGTCATGGAACTCTTTGGCAGTTTGGTGAAACCTGAAGACTCCTCTGAATAATGTTTCTTACTCTTTTGAAAAAATTCATAATTGAAGGAAATGATAAATTTCAGAGGTTAGTGAAAATGAAGATGTAATTTTTGTCTCATCTAAGTTCACCAACTCTGAAATCTATCCATGGATTTTTTTCTGTGGCCCCCAGGTTAAAAACTCCTGCCCTAGAGCCTTGTGAGAGGTGGAAGCTGCATTAGTGGCAGTGCTCTTATGGTCAGGTCATCTCGAACTCTTGTTACTTTAGATTGGTTCCACATGTGATTTCAATATTAATTTTACCCTGTCTTTGTCGTTTAGCCCGAGGAAGAAAAGGCAGTTTACACAATCCAATTGGGAAAAGTAGGTGATGTTATTCATTAAAGGCTTTTGAAAGGTGGCTCTTAACACTATAATTCTAGAATATTTTGGGGAACTGAATCACATTCTCCTCAAGTACTCACACATGACTGATACAGGCCTTCAGAAAACTAGCAAAGCAAGTTGTGCCCTCCATAGACACCGTTCTGAATGCCTAATGTTTCTTTTTTCCAATTTCCTTATGTTTGTTGCAGGAGTTGGACACCCCATTTAGGCTCTATGGCCTTACCATGAATCCCCTGATCTACAACATAACTCGGGTGGTTATCCTTTCAGCTGTCTCAGGGGTGATAAGTGACCTACTAGGATTTAATATAAGAGTAAGTATGGCTGTCATTGTCTTTATTTGTGTTGGCCTCTTTGAGGATGTTTCTTTACCTGTTAAAATACTTTATAAGAATCTTTTCTTTTCCTACTTGTCTGTGTGATGGATAATAGGGAATGATTCTTAGGAAAATAATTGTTTGTTCTTGTTGGCATATAGTATTAAGGCTTTTGGGCCAAGTTCACAGTTCCATAGTTCATTCCTTTGTCCATATACAAAAAAAGGTTTCCCTAGTTTACCTGTCATGTAGGTATGCTTTCAGATCACTAAGTGAATTACCTCAAAACTTATTTTCTTAGCTGAAATCATTCTGGTGGTTGTTTTCTTTCCTTAGTTGTGGAAAATTAAGCCTTGAGCTGAGTGGTATATTTGGACCATAAATCTTTGCTGGCATTGGCACTTAACCATTTGATGGACAACTGCAGGAACAAGTGAGACAGCCTTCCATTTTCTTGCATGCAGAAGTACTCTCACCTATGGCAGATCTGTGAATGATGTTTTCCTGGGAATCAAGAGTTGGCACACAACTTTGTATATGCTAAAGACTTCATTTTTACAGTTTAGAAACATTGCGAAATGTTGGAAAACTAATGCTTTTCCTCTGTTACTATACATAATACGCTGAATAATTTCCCAGGTTAGGAAATTTATTCTGAGCATTTCAATGCTTTGATGGTTACATTTTTATGTGGAAGTAGACTTCTAAGTGACTGGTAAATGACCAAAGTGTGAAACACATTTGCTTTCCTGAAAAAAATGGGAATTCACTTCTCTTCCATTATAATCTATGGATTTTGGAAAGTTCCATTCTATAGCAAAGAGAGATCAAATTGAAACTATTTTAGGTTGAATCCAATAAAAAAACCTTATTGGAAAATTTCAGTTTCTTGGCTTTTCTTTCTAAAAAAAAAATTAAACAGAACTGACACTTTTAACTGCAAGTTTCTGATAAACTATAAGAAAGATTGAGCTTCCATTATGCTTATAGAGCTAATCCTAATAACCATCATAACTATTGTTGGAATAGTGAAGCACCATGTAGTATTTATTCATATCATTCACATGAAACGTGTTCTTGGTCTAAAATATAGAAGCATTAAAAATCTGCTTCTGTGATGTCTCTGAGTCAGTAAGACACGGTGGCTTGTCTCTGGCAGCTAACAAGTTAGGAGTCCTGCAAGAGCTATTCCAGGTCTTCATCATTTGATCTGCCAACTTGCTCTTTGTGTCTCTCGTGATTTGTATCCTGTGTAGTACCTCCCATAGCAATGCAATTAAGGAAAAACTGACCACTTTCAGGCTCTAAGTATAGCTTATTTGGTTGTGTGTTTTGAGAAGCCAGATGGGATAAACTGGAAGTCCAAACCATTTAAATAGGTGTTAAGATTTTGTGATGGTTTGAGACAGAAACAATTAGAGATAGTGATACTGATGATGATGTATACAGATTATAGATGCTATAGAAATTCAGAGGAGGTTTATGATCATGGTGGAGTAGTAATAACAAGAGGTAAAGTCTTCACGGTAGTTTCATGTACAAAGTATGCTTAATAAGCAAGATGAACTATATATTCTAATACAAAAGTCAAATTTCACCTCATAGGCATCATTGCAACTTGGAAAGATGAGACCTATAACTGGAGAAGTTATAAATTTTATTCAAAAAGCAGGATAATTAGGGGAACAGGGGTAGGCAAAAGTCAAGTAGCATTTTATATATTGGCCGGAATTTAACAAAGTACAGACTGAGGCAATTCTCAGAGCCAAGATATCCTTTATTATTAGCACACAGCCTAGTAATAAAGGGGTCTTACTGACTAGCTTCTATTTGCACCAAGAGATCCAGAGCACAGTGTCTTTTATACCTACGTGTGTCTTCCTTCTGATTAGCCTCACAGTACGTCATTTAGACTTCGTCTGGCAAATGTAAGGCAACCTTGATTGGTGGGTGGGTAAGTTGGCCTTCAGTTATGACTTTCATGCCCCTCTCAATGAATGCCAGTCGCTTGACAGCTGCCTGGAGCAATCTTGAATAGAAAAAACATAAGCCATCTCAATTAGGTTTTCACTGGCTTTCTCTCCCCCTGGGTAGACCAGGTCACCTCAAATCTTGATTAGAAAGCAAAGACATAAGAGCCATCCCCTGGGTAGTGTGACCTTCGCTCAAACTGGCTTCTGTTTATGGGATAAACAAAGCAAGGGTCCTTGCCCAGGCAGATGCCTTGGAACCTGGGAGTATTTGTATTCCTCAGCTGGTTCCAGACTCAGGGAGGTTTCTCCTGTAACTGCACTAAAAGATAGGAAAAGAGGGCATATTGCAAATTAATAATAAAATGATACAGCATTAGAATTAATTATCCTCAGTTAAGAAGATAAACTCGTATTCAGCGTTCATGTTCAGTAATTTTTCAGTCGTGTCTGACTGTGACCCCTTTTGGGGGTTTTCTTGGCAAAGATACTGATGTGATTTACTATTTCCTTCTCCAGCTCATTTTACAGATGAGGAATTGAGGCAAACAAGGTTAAGTGACTTGCCCAGGGTCACATAGCTAGTAAGTATCTGAGGTCAGATTTGAACTCAGGAATATGAGTCTTCCTGACTTCAGGGCTGGCCCTCTAACCACTGTGCCATGTGTCACCTAGCAACCCTTTGATATAAAGGAAGATAAATTCAATATTATACTAGAGATGCTAGCAATAGCAGTAAGAGAAGAAAAAGAAATTGAAGGAATCAGAATGGGCAATGTGGTAATAAAACTTTTTACAGACTATATGATAGTATTTATTTGGAAAATCTGAGAGATTCAACTAAAAAGCTAGTTGAAACAATAATTTTAGCAAAGTAGCCGGAAAAGCAAATCCACATAAATCATCAGCATTTCTATATATCACAAACAAAGCCCTGCAAGGATAGTAAAAGGTAGTTCATTTAAAATAACCCTAGACAATATGAAATACCTGGGAGTATACCTGCCAAGACAAACCTAGGAACTATATGAACATAATTATAAAACACTTTTCATACAAATAAAATCAGATTTTAATAATTAGAGAAATATTAATTGATCATGGGTGGGCTGAGCCAATATAATAAAAATGAGAATTCTACCTAAATTAATCTACTAATTGCCATCCCAATTAAATTACCAAAAAAATTACTTTATTGAGCTACAAAAATTAATAATTCATTAGGAAGAACAAAAGGTCAAGAATATCAAAAGAATTAATGAAAAAATGTAAAGGAAGTAGGGCTAGCAGTGCTAGATCTCAAACTGTATTATAAAGCAGTAATTACCAAAACTATCTGGTACTGGCTAAGAAATAAAATAGTAGATCAGTGGAAAGGAGTAGTTATACATTACACAATAGTGCATGACCTTATGTTTGATAAATGTAAAGATTTAAGCTTTGGGGATAAGAATTCGCTGTTTGGTAAAAAATTGTTGAGAAAATTGTAAAGCAGTCTGGCAGAAACTAGGTACAGACCAATATCTTACACCATTTACCAAGATAAGGTCAAAATGGATACATGCCTTAGACATAAAGAGAGATTTAAGTAAATTATAAGAACATGAAACACATTACCTGTCAGATTTATGGATAGAAGATTTTATGAATAAACAAAAGATAGAGAGCATTGTGAGATGTTAAATGGATAATTTTGATTACATTAAATTAAAAAGGTTTTATGCAAATAAAACTAATTTAGCCAAGATTAGAAGGAAAGCAGAAAATTGGGGGGAAATTTTTATAGGCAGTTTTTCAGATAAAGGTCTTATATCTCAGACATATAGAGAACTTTGTCAAATTTATAAGAATATGAGGCATTCCCTACTTGATAAATGGTCAAAGGATATAAACAGGCAGTTTTTGGAGGAAGAAATCAAAGCTATATATAGACATGTAAAAAATGCTCTAAGTCATTATTGATTAGAGAAATGCAAATTAAAACCGGTTTGATACGCCATCTCAGACCTATCAGATTGGCTAAATTGATAGAAGGGAAAATGACAGCTGTTGGAGGGGATGTAGAAAAATTGGGACACTAATACCCTGTTGGTGGAAATATGAATTATCTAACTTTTGGAGAGCAATCTGGGATTATGCCCAAAAGACTGTAAAATTGTGTCTGCACCCTTTGACCCAACAACACCACTATTTGGTCTGTTTCCCAAGGTGATCAGAGACAAAGGAAAAGAATCTATGTGTTTTAAAATATTTACAGCAGCTCTCTTTGTGGTGGCAAAGAACTGGAAATTGAAGGAATGCCTATCATTTGGGGAACTGCTGAATAAGTTGTGGTATATGATTGTGATGGAATACTACTGTGCTGTAAATGATGAGCAGGTTGATTTTATGAAAACATGGAAAGACTTGCCTGAAACAATGAAAGAATAACGTGAGCACAACTAGGAGAACGTTGTACATAGTAACAGCAATATTGTTTAAAGAGTAAATTTGAATGACTAAGCCGTTCTGAGTTATATGAATATTCTAATCAACAACAGAGGACCTCTGAAGGAAGATGCTATCCACTTCCAGAGAAAGAACTAATACATGGGACTGTGTATTGTACAGTTTCACATGTGTATCCTTGTCCAATGTTGGTCCTTCTCTGGCACAGGGTTGAGAGAGAGGAAAGCACCTTGGGACTCAGATGTGACCCCAAAATAATAAATTTTAAAAAGAGAGAAACTCATGTGGGGAAATCCAGGAATTGGATCTGGGGCCAAAGCTTTTGGGTGAAAATTGACAGGGATCAAAAAGATAGGTGATATTGTTGTTGAAGTAACTAAGGCCCCCATGGATGACTTCGATTACATTACATTGAAAAGCTTTTGCACAGACAAAGCCAATGCAACCAAGATTAGAAGGGAAGCAGAAAGGTGGGAAACAATTTTTACAACCAGATAAAGGCCTCATTTCTAAAATACATAGAGAACTGAGTTGAATTTATAAGAATACAAGTCATTCCCGAATTGATAAATGGTCAAAGGATATGAACAGGCAGTTTTCAAAGGAAGAAATTAAAGATATCTATAGTCATATGAAAAAATGCTCTAAATCACTATTGATTACAGAAATGCAAATCAAAATGATTCTTGAGGTACCACATCACACCTATCAGATTGGCTAATATGACAAAACAGGAAAATTATAAATGCTAGAGAAGATGTGGGAAAATTGGAACACTAATGCATTGTTGGTAGAGTTGTAAACTGATCCAACCATTCTAGAGAGCAATTTAGAACTATGCCTAAAGGGTATAAACTGTGCATATCCTTTGACCCAGCAATAAACTTCTAGGTCTGTATCCTAAAGCAATCATAAAAATGGGAAAAGGACCCACATGTACAAAAATATTTATAGCAGCTCTTTTTGTGGTGGGCAAGAATTAGAAATTGGGAGGATGCCCATCAATTGGGGAATGGCTGAACAAGCTGTGGTATATGAATGTAATGGAATACTATTGTGCTATAAGACATGATGAGCAGGAAGACTTCAGAAAAACCTGGAAAGACTTGTGTGGTCCAATGCTGAGTGAAGTGAGCAGAACCAGGAGAACATTGTACACAGTAACAGCCACACTGTGTGATGACTTTGATAGACTTAGCTCTTCTCAGCAATGCAGGGATCTAAAACAACTCCAAAAGACTCTTGATGGAAAAAGCTATCCACATCTAGAGAAGAAACTATGGAATCTGAATGCAGATCGAAGCATACTATTTGCTCTCCTTTTCCTTTGTTGTTTTGTTTTGATCCTTCTTTCTTGTGGTTCCTCCCTTTGGAGGAGATATTCTTCTTTACATCATGACTAATGTGAAAACATGCTTAATATGAACATGGAAGTAGAGCCTATTTCAGATCGCAC